CTGTCTCAACAGCATGTCAATGATGAGTTTGACCAGTTTAGGCCAAAATCGAAGGCTATAATTGATCAAAATGGTGGACATATTGAGCGTCTGTTTATGTAAATCAAGTTGACAAAAAAATTGTTTTTGCAAGTTTCGGAAAACCTGTTTTAAAACAAAAATGACGTCATTTATATTATGGACGCTGGATGACAGACATTATAATAAATTTGAACTCATGGTATACCAAATTAAAGATAAGTAAATTCCCTTTCCACTGGTATATAATATGTCATGTTTTCATCAAGAAAATCAATATCTATTTTCGAAATACGAGTATCCCATTTTTTGGACCACCCTGTACATATGTATATTTATCCCATGTTTGCAAGTATATAGATCGAATATCACACGAAGATATATTTGATATGTGGATCAAGATATCATATTTTAGCAAAATATCACTTTTAAGCTATCGAATATCACGTCTTAAAAAGTGATATTCGATGGTTTGAAAAGTGATATTCGATGGTTTCGAATTTTAAAAAAAATCTTTTTAGATTTTTTAATTATTTAAAAAAAATCAAAATTTCAAAAAACATTTTCAACATTTTTTCACATTTTCTTCAATTTTTTCTCATATTATATTTTTCAACTTTGTTCGCTGATGATGATTTCCCATTGGCTAAACGGACAATCCTATGGTTTTTCAAAAATATCAATTATATCCACTCATGAATATTGATATCTTCGTGAGCGAGCGCAGAAATTAGCAATGGCAATTAGCCAATTGAAATCGATTGTAATTGTTTATATTATAAATAAATTGATAACATGAAAAAACAACAACATATTTACAGTCTTCAATTTAGTATTAACATTTCAGATCACGACCTTGGAAGGGAGGTTAAGTTTTACTTAGTTCACATCTACTGACTGTTTTTATTTTCCTTTGTCCCCATTGGTCTAACATGGGGATATCATCATATTTCAAATATGATGATATCCTCATGTTAAATCGATGTTAATATAGAACATTCTATAAAAATTATAGAAAGATGAGCTCTAAAGTATATATCTCAAGTTACACTGAGGCAGTACCGCATACAGAAGCACAAATTTCTCTTGGATCGAACGCTGGGTGGTTGTTGAGTAAGTTCCAAAGATTGTGAGTTCTCAAAACAGAAATGGAGATTCTGATGCCATTGCGTTGAGATTCAGTTTGATCGAGGAAGCAAACATATTTGCAAATGCGATTCAAAAAAAAGTTATTTGGAAAGTAATCGTTGTTTAGGTATTGAATCAGGTAATCTTGCAAGTTGTATGTATCTAGAATGTTTGATATGGCGAAAAAAATATTGCATGTCGGTGATTAATACCCTAGAGCAAAGGACGAGTGGCTTTAAGACCCTTTATTAGCCCCCAAAATATTTAGAAAAAATTGTACAGGATATCAATGAAGAGACTTTGTTTGATAACCAGATCCCAAAATTTGGTCATTCTGACATTTATATTTCAAAATATAGGTCATTATATTAACGTGTATAAAATGACCTTTTCAAAGAAAAATCACTTTTTTCACATCATTATTGTCAATGTTTCTATTTATCATCAAAGTAATCATTATTTTCAGTCATTTAAGACTTTTCAATTGATCCTGTTGCTATTATCTTACATAATAGTGACAAAGCATATTTGGCAACATTCGAAAACATATAAAATATAACAAGTCAAAAATACAAACAAAATATTGAATAGTGATCTTCTTTATACTTCATTTAGAACAAAAAAAAAAAGTTTGCCAAACTATGTCAGAAAAGAACATTGAGTTTTTTTTAAAATTTACTTCACAATGAGAAAGAACAAGGGGCAACATCTAAAAACACATGAAGTAATTAACAAGTCAAAAATTTCTATCAATCAATTATATATTGATCTGCTTGCTTGAGATCATATGCACTGAAATACTGAATTTATTATTTCAATATCACAGTAAGGAAGCACAAAGAGCAACATTTGAAAACACATGGACTTTACATAACTGTTGATGAGCACATTCATGTGTTTATTCATTATAATAAGAGATTCTCTGAGCTATCATCATCTTCTTCAGATGACAACATTTCATACATATCTTTTGATTTTAAAATGTCAAACTTCGTGCCTTTCCTTTTGCTTTTATACCCCTTGTGCCTACAACCCTACTCCCAACAAGGCATGTACAACACCATCCAATGATTGCATCAATACTATTACATACATCTAGATCTGGGTTATACTCCGCCCATGTATAATGAGATTTAGAGGACACAAACCGATTACTGGACTTTTACACAAATTAGGCCATATGTATCTTTTTTAACAATGATGGTATATTTCCCATCTGCTTGAAGATGGTCATTTGTGCATCGTTTAAATTGGTTGGCTTGATCTCAAGAGAGTCTACTATGATTTAGATGTAACCCTCTTGCCTCCATACACGGGGTACTGGGAGATTGCAGTTCACTCATGCAGTTCCCTTTGCTTTGACATTTTATTAGCAAATGTCGTTTTTCCGCCTACTGATTGTGACTTACAGTATATTTCTTCTGTACAATAAAGTTGAGCTTGATTTCTAAATATGAACTTGGTATGATCAGCCAGTGAACTGTGATGATATAAAAAAATTATTCATACACAAAACATCAAGATAAAATGATTGTACAACAATCATCTCATATGAATGTATTGAAAGGAATTGCATGTTATTATGTTGCTTAGAGCCATGGTAAAGATATATGCTTCTCAAGAGGTCATGCTCCAGTGCAAGCATACATATTAATTCATGAAAAGATCATAAGAATAAGGAAAATATACTCAAATATATGAAACACAGCTGTCACAATCATTCTAAAGATTTTCAAAATGGCTGACATCATTTTATTTCATGCTGAAAATTGCAGAAAAGTTCCAAAATTGCACAACGCTTGATCCTTACCTAAATTTTTACATATCTCAAGAAGTACCTTAGAAGTACACTATTCCCTCAATACATATAACTTTCTAGGTAAGAACCAAGCATTATATGAAGAAAGCAAGAGTTTATCATGACTTTCCTCTATCTAAAAAGAAGTAGGTCAACACAATTGCAAACATAACTAATCCCTACTCAATGACTATTGAAATATGACTATTCATATGTACAAAATAGTAATCCAATGAGTGTGTAGAGTAACACAATCAAACAATGGGACATCTGCCAAGTTGGGTTTATACATTCTGGAGACATTTTCTGAGACTGATAAAAAATTCACATTTCACAGGAAGTGATACATACAGGGTGTCCGGAAAGTAAAGATACAAATGCTCTAATTTCAATAGATTTACCTGTTGTGAGATGAAATTGCTACAGATTATAGAATGACATTGTAACAATTTATCCTGCAACTGTCATGACAAATTGTCTCAAAATAAGAAAGTTATGGTTGTTATGGTAACAGGAGTCGCGGGTATGTGGAGCAGCGTCACAATTATGTTTTATAATTCTTTTCTCCTGTACATATCATCTTGACACTCCGTCATCTGTTGCTATTATGTATCAAATTATGTACCACAACAGTAAAAGGATTAGTACTCTAAGATTGTTTAATCATTTGACATTACTCCTGTTATCCAGTATTATGTATTTTCAATCTTTATCTAAACATTCTTGGTGCATTTTGACCGGAGATTCAAGACCTGACAAAACCTTTGCTGTCAGTCCCTGAGATTGCTGATAACATTGGCTTCCAGCCGAGTCTCATTTTTATGTTGAACTTCTAACAAATTGCTTTAACATATTCATTAATGTAGAAGTCCAACGGGACATTATCAGGGAAATATGGGCCATTTTACAAATAGGTTAATGTCAAGAAATTCAATTGTAAGATTTGTTTTCTTTGCTTTGTGCATTAGAGTATTGACTGTGGAGTTGCACTATTGACTTTCCTATTAATCCAGGGACCCTTTTTCTAAGCACTTATATGCTCTTTTTCTTTGATTATACTTGTGACATTACATAGTTGATATGTATCAATGATATCGTTATCCTAAAGAGAATACTATGGCAGCAAGAATACAATATTGAACAAAACAAGAAACTGATAAGAAATACAATAATAAACACTATTTCAAATGGTTATATTTTAGCAATTTATCACAATTTAGCGATATCCTGGAACTGCTCCGCATACCCCTCAACACCGTAACCATGACAACCGTAGCTTTAACATATTTAGACTATATGTTATAAAAATTGGTAGATGTATTGTAATGTAGTTCCTCTACAATCTGTAGCGATTTCATTACAAAAAAACTAAATCTCTTAAAATTAGAGTATTTGTATCTTTACTTTCCGGACACCCTGTACCTCCCAAATCAACCAAAATATACTTATATCAGGAATCTTGAATGCTTCTTATTGCTATTTCTTGAGAATATACATATTTATCTACAATTTGATCCTACATATGAAGGATATTAACAATATTGCATTTTTCAAAAAATGTTAAGTGACCCCCAGGGGTGTCTATAGCCATTCGTTCTTTGCTCTGTACAGGAAGATGTCTTTTGTCAAAGTCGACTGTTGTATGTTGCAAAGCTGACCGAGAAACGACAACTTTCAATTAGTGTGTGCACTGGACTGGTAACAGATCAGCTAAAGCGTCGATAATATCACTTCTGGTAGTTTTGGATAAAGAGACAAGGTGGGTTAAGATCGTCATGAGCTTCAGTTTATCAAGAAATAGTCGTTCAACACTTCGCAAATGCATGCCCCAAAGGCTGTACCAATTTGATTGAAAAGCTGAACACAGGCTAACACGATATATGGTGTGGACTACGAGCCACTGGAAGCCATGATGTTGGTTGCTGATCCAGTGGCTAGAAAGTTCCTGGAGGGACGTCGAGGCAAGAATGAATATATAAAGGTAGAAGATGATCGAACCTGTCCGAAGTACAATGTATACATTTAAATATTAATACAAAGTAAACCGCTGTTTTACCCAGCCGATCCTGTACCATCCGCGCCAATTGCTTTAAATGGAATTATGGTCACCATTTTGCAAACCCCAGTGTTAGTTCCTGCAGCGATTCCTACAATACGAAACCATGGATGTGAATACAGTTTGAATATACATTTTAGAATCTCGACCAAAATAACATACTTGTGGAAAGTTTCGTTGTTGTACTGCTTTTTATGATCACATGCTTGATTTCCGGTTGATATGCGAAAAAAATGAATCGTAACCTCAACGTCTTTTTCTCCAGACACGTTATGAGTAAACGTATCATACAATGATTGTGAAGGTTAATTACATTTTTTTAGCGAAAGGAAAAGGCTGAATAATGGCGTCTACCTGAAACTAATGTCCCATGACCACTAGGCATGTCATCTTCTGGAGAGCTATTACCATCTACAAAGTTATACCCCTGAAATCAAATATATGGTCTTTGTCCTATTTATAAATTTATTTACCTTTTTAAGAGCCTATTTTTGATATTCAAGTCGACTTATTTTCACTATTTTTCTAATTGAATAAGTAAACAAGTTTCTATGATTGGTTACAATATATACATTTAAATATGATAATGTAAACTAAATGATTTTTATATTTAATGAGTTAAACATTATTCACATAGAAATTACATCTTGTTTATACTCACGGCACTATCAATTCGATTTGTGAACTCATCATGTTGAGAACGTATTCCTCTGAAAGTGTTTGCGAATATACAGTTTTTGTTTGTGGGTGTTTAATTTTCAAAACGATTGCCTCAATATAAAGATACACTCCCCTCCATAAGTTTGGCAACCTTTTTTCTCCATTGAACTACGTGTTAAAGCCTCTTTACGTTTGAATTTTTATTTACTTAACCGGCGATGAAATAACTTATAATATTAATGGAAACGTAACTTGACTTTAATTCCAATACCTCCAAATTTTCTCAATTTTTTTCCTCAATTACAATAGGTCGAAAATTGATGATAAATTTGATGAATTTTTGAAAATCGTCATTCCCGTGTAATCCAATGGGAAATGGAGGGTTCGGGGCAAATCAGAAATCAGGATATCTTTTCAGTAAAAGATTCAGCAAAAATATTTTTATATAGAAAATTGAATTGTCTAACTTTTTTGAACACTAAGTGTTTAGTTTATTTGATGAATATTAACGTTACAGCGCTTCAAAGTCATTTTTGAAAATAATTTTTCGCCTCCTGTGTTATTTCAATGGGAGAGGTTTTTTGAAAAACAATTTTGACTTTAAAGCCCTATAACTTTGTTGAACCTGAAGAAACATATCAATTTTTTCTTAAATAAAGTTAGCAAATTCAATTACCTGCCTAACTCGTATTTTTGCAAGGACTCGGATGGATGGATATTCTGTCATATGACTTGCGGCAAACCTACCATTTCCCATTGGTTAACATGGGAATGTCGATTTTCAAAAATTCATCAAATTCATCATCAATTTTCGACCTACTGTAATTGAGGGAAAAAATTGAAAAAATTTGGAGGTATTGGAATTAAAGTCAAATTACGTTTCCATCGCAGTATTCACAAGTATTTTCATCGCAGGTTAAGTAAATAAAAATTCAAGGGTAAAGAGGCTTTAACACGTAGTTCAATAGGGAAAAAAGGTTGCCAAACTTATGGAGGGGAGTGTATATACATTTTATCGTAAAGTATCCAAATTAAACTGACGTCATCAGAAACTGGATTCCCTAAGCGATAACTAGATTCTAGATATAGTAAATCTCATGAACTTACGAATCTATGACATACAAATCCACGCCCATCCCATTTCCTAAAAGCAGTATAATGTTTAATATAGCAAGACATGATATTGATATGCATTTTCTATGGTATTTACAAGTTTGAAGGATTTTTCTACTATTTCTTTACTAATTAAATAGATTTTACAACTCATGGTACCACTTTTATGAACACGTTTCTAAGTTCAAAACACGTTGCTATCAACTGTGTACCCAATTAGAGTAAAATAAAGATTTGTTAACAGCGCAGAGTGCAAAGAAGGGCAAAGGAGTTCTTAGCGCGAATTGAATAAACTAATAAAAATAAAGGCATGATGTAGATCAAAAGCAATATCGTTATCTGTCATATTTCTTCCTACAAAATCAAACGCAATAAACTTGGTGCGACTGATGCAATCCAAATACATTCTTGAAGGGCAATGGATAACCCGTGAGTTAATGTAGTAAATGACAGTACTCCTCTAGATAAGTTTGGAAAGCATTTCTACTGGATTTTGAACAAAAAATGTAGTAAATGTACTCCTCTAGATAAGTTTGGAAAGCATTTCTACTGGATTTTGAACAAAAAATGTAGTAAATGTACTCCTCTAGATAAGTTTGGAAAGCATTTCTACTGGATTTTGAACAAAAAATGTAGTAAATGTACTCCTCTAGATAAGTTTGGAAAGCATTTCTACTGGATTTTGAACACAAAATGTAGTAAATGTACTCCTCTAGATAAGTTTGGAAAGCATTTCTACTGGATTTTGAACAAAAAATGTAGTAAATGTACTCCTCTAGATAAGTTTGGAAAGCATTTCTACTGGATTTTGAACAAAAAATGAGATTGGATAATTTGATTTCACTGTATGAATGGAATGTTCGTCCATATGGTCCTAGATTGTGATAATGGAACTTGTATCATTAACCATCATTTCTTTTCACGTTGGATTATATTGTTTCATATTGTTTGGCATTGTTTTCTTTATGACTCCTGTTCATTCATAGGTCTTATTTTTCTCATTGTGTTTTCTGTGCAATTTTCGGTCCTTTCCCTTTGGCACTTGTATACTTACAAGTCCAAAGTTACATAAACATACAAACTAGATGGTCAAATTAAATATGTATAAAAACGTACCTAATACTGAGTAAAAACCATCCACTGGGTTTGGGTTTTCTTGGTTTATTCTATCAAGATTCTGAAAAGAAATGAACATTGAAACTTCAAAATTCTTGTTTTATTTTATTCCTTTTATTTACGTTTTATATACAAAACATGCACCATGTCACAATCAAATACACCACACTGAGCTATAAAAGAAGTATCATGAGCAAGAAAAAATCTTTTAAATAGAAAAAAGACTTCATTTTAGTCCCTTAACTTCTGACATTGTTCAAAATTTATGATGTTTCTTTTCTAGATTAAACATGAACATTGCAGCATTAAGTTTGTTCACATAAAATATGTTTAGAATGCCAAGTTCCTTGAAAAGGAGAGCTGAGAGGGTCATAAAGTCAAACAAATGTTTTTGAAGAATGTGAAGACTGTTAAGATTTGATTTGTAAGTATTGCCCAATAAAAATTAGTTTCAATTTAGGTCTCAAAATGAAAGTTTATTGTCAAATGAAACACCGAGAAAGGTTGTTCTTTTATGAAGTTTATTTGTTTTTATTTGAACAAATTCAAAATATTTTTCATAAACGATATGGACTTGTATGTACTTTGTTGACATATATTAACTGAATTGATTAATTATTGAAACAGTCAGTTATAGAAAATATAAACGTTGGTCATCACTACCCAGTAAAGACTGGACGGGTTCGGGAGAGTATAAGCATTGATGTTTGAACATTGTTGAGTTGAGACCACTGTATCTTGTACGATCCTTGTGATGTCGTTGTCATTAAGAAGCAGGCGTAATATTCTAAAAAGGAAGTTTATTTAAAGAGTTATATGCAGTTTTCTCATATCGATGACATTTTCAGAGTTGGTCAAACTAGGAAGAAGTTAAAATAATTCTAAAGTTCAGAGATGCAACGGTCATGAATGGATAACAATTGTCGGTAGTCATTTGTCGATCTACCTACTTATTTATACTAGTCAATCGGATTTCGTGGAATATCACTTGTGAAAGATGCATTTTGATATGACCAGTCGTCGTTGGTCAAACTTTGTGTCATTACGTTAATATATTACCAACAAGTGCTTACTGTTCACTCGGGCATGATATGATGTAGATCATATCATGAGGGATCAGCTCACTTATAATTGTACCGCTGGCACATGGGTTATCCTTTGGAATATGTCCTTGTTGAATATTCATGGTCGATTTCAGTTTGTTAAAATGCATGTCGGCTGTTAAAAATGAGATATTAGGGTAGATCATTCGAAATGATAGATACAATACATTGTCTATAATGCGTTATTTTAAAATCATTTACTAATTTTTTATACAATAATAAGAACATATCGCAATAATTTGTTTTTGTAAATTGAACTGTTAGCAATGGTGAGTATGCACTATTTTTTTGTGAAGGGGGAGAGTGTCCGTGTTCCATGAAGAAAATGTGTTGTAATTTCCGGTTGATCTCTTATAATTCTCCGAGTAGTTTTTAAAATCATCAATAGCTATAAATAATACCTCCAACTTTCGTGAAACCGGTTCTAAAGATGACCAAATACCGGTTTTCTATACCATTATAACCAACACCTAGGTATTGGAACTTGGCTGAAACATTAAAAAACAGCATAAACATAACGCTTTAAACAAAATGGAAGAACAGGTTAGTCTGATGACGTTTTCATTATGATGTATTTTAATATAAAAACTTAGATTCCCTGTCTAATCGCTCCTCTAAAGCTACTTAGTTGTTGAAAGGGGAGCACAACCATGGTCACATGATCAGTCGTGTGGAGGTAAGCTCCCAGTTGAAATAAAAGCACTGTCCTCCTTTGGTTTATGTGAAAGTAGCTAATACCCTCATGTATTGGTCAGTTTGTGTGTCACACGACTAATCCACACCATATGCTTCATTCAACATATTTTATGCTATTAAGATGCATATAAAAAACACTACTTTGCAGTAAAAACGTACTACTGGATGAACTAAGGTTAGGGTAATTAAATTAGTTGTTTCTCATTCTTGCCCGCGTGTGGCCCAATCCCCTCCACCTTTTTTCTGCCATTTCTGAGAAAAAAACACCGTACCTCGCGCGCATCCATGGCGTGTGAAACACTTTTTTTTACTTTTTATGGATCAGGATAATTGACAATATCGTGGTACTGATATATGATCAAATATACCAGTAAAGTAGGCTAAATTCAACATATAAATTCAACATAAACTCAGTTTATTTCCTTCAAAATTAGTTATTTGTTTTTACAGTTATTTTAAAGAAAAAAATCATCCCGTCCCTCATCAGCATTTTAGATAGACAAAAAAGATAATATAAAAACCGTCATTCCCGTATCAATTTTGAAAAATAGAAGAAAGAGAACAACTAATTTAATTACCCTGGCCTAACATAAAATACAAAGCCACTAGCTAGCTCATACAGTATACTTACCCCTTGCAAATTGTAATTTATTGAATTCACAGTAAACCCATCAATTAAAAAATTAAAACAAAGAATATTGTTCTCATGGATCTATTATTCATGTTAAACTAGCTATGAAAATATAAATATGAAATAATATGTTAGCTTGAAGTCATATATAAGATGAAAATATATGTTCATGCATTTGTATTTTTCCAAAGGGAATATATTCCCATGTAAGTAAATACAGGTGCAATATATAATTTATATGTATATCTATGTCATCTGTCTATACATGCAAATGGTCTAGTCTAAGTACTTTAAACATGAAATCATGATCGCATTTAGATAATAAAAAAATTAAAATGAAACATATGTTTTCATAATTCCTTTCCTAAAATCCCATCCAAAGGCCAGGATTAAACGATATACTTTGGGTGCTAATCCTCATATGATTGTATGGTCAATATAAAACAATATAAAACTAGCGAGTTTAACCCTAATGTCTGCGACCTTTTTCTTCATAACATTTAATCAAGGGGGATATTTGGACCCCCTCTCACACCCGGTGATCGTACAAAATGGATGGAGGGGGGATTAGGCGATTTCTGCAAGAAAACTCAACAAATTTGGAAGATTTATTTTTTCAAGAGAAAAGATGCATATAAAAACACTACTTTGCAGTAAAAACTCCCCCCCCCCCTCCATCCAATATTAATTTATTTCGATTATTTTTTGTATAACGCATGGAAACTAACTTTAAAAGTGAGCAATGGCATTAGTATTGTGATAATAATGTCCCGTATACCTATTTATTACAGGTCGTGTAGACCATTGTTGCCCGATTTATAGCAAAAGCATTGACTTTTGCACGTTGGTGATGATGCGCCTTTTTTAATATATCTCATATCTTTCAAAGGTATCAGTTCAAAAAAATACTAGATGACCTAACATATTTTGCCATGCACTGCGCCTATTCATTTGGCAATTCAGTTGTTAATTTTCTCTTGAAAAAATAAATCTTCCAAATTTGTTAAGTTTTCTTGCAGAAATCGCCTAATCCCCCCCTCCATCCATTTTGTACGATCACCGGGCGTGCCTCTGAGATCTTTTATTACTTGTCTTATTTCGATAATGTTGATATCGTTGTGAAACGTATTCAATTACTCTTCAGAAAATGATTGCATTCTTTGAAAAAGTAGGCCAGCAAAGGTCATATCCTAGGGTTTGTAAATTTGGAAAATTTTGTGATAAAATGTCAGTTGTCTTTCAAAATGATTTTTTTCACCGTTGCTCGTCCTTTCACCGTTGCTCGTCCTTAAAGCCCCCGATAAATCGGGCTACGTATACCGCCGTGTTTACATTAGGGGATTAGAAGAGTTTATTTTTACTTTAGGTATGCAAGCAATATCAATATTTGGCCTTCATGCATGTACTCGTGTGTACAATCAGCATGCCCTTCAATATTATATAAGCCAAGCTATTCAAGTACAACATAATGTACACTATTTATGTGTGTACAACATGGGAATACAATTCCCTGGGAAACAAAACACAAATACTTTTTATATGTTCAAAATGAGCCATTTGATTGATGCATACACTTAATACCTTCATATATAAACATCTACATAGTATATCTAATAGTCATTTTCAATTCCAATGGTGAAACTTGCCTGGTTACGATTATACGGGAAATCAACACGGGACGATAGTTGTTCACCTTCCTGGCTTACCTCTGAAGCCTGTACCCTGTAATCTCTTTATATAGGTTAGCGAGAGCGCTGCGCCTGCGCAGTTTTAAACTCTGGCGCACACTTTAACCGTATTCATATGTTTTCACGTTTTGAAATTATTGTACGAGTATATGGTTCTGTTTGAGTTTACAATTCCGTATCGTACCATATGTTTTGTACTGTACTAATATTTGCAAGCTTGCGATCCCCTTCAATAGGTTAATTAAATACCCTAGGTGTAAATACTTACGATTTAATTTTAGAGAGGCCGACACGGCAACACAAGCCCTCAAAGTCAGCATAAGAACAAGGCAGCAAATTGCTAATTTCATGTTTTCTCGACTATAGTCAACACAATATAACAGCAAAGCAGTGTTGTTTGAAATCTGCTTTTTCGTGTTATAAATCACATTTATTTATTCAATGAATGTGCTAACATGAATACAATAAAAAACATTTATTTCGATAAATATTTACATTATTCACTGTCAAACAATCGCAATGTTAGAGACTGATAGAGAAAACAGCTTCACTTAGAATGACTCTTAACTAAAGTTGATAATAAACTAACTCAAACATGATATTCACCATTGATGACAATTAATTTAATATTCCATTTCTTACCCATTATAACAATGTAATAACAATGTTTATACAAACGTTACTTACAGTTAATAGTTTGAGTGCCTCTGAGGCACATATACTGAGAAAACACGAGAATGGACTAAAAATTATCTCAGTCGGTAGGTTTACAGCTTATGTTCTGCTTCTTGTAGACCCTGGCAGATTTGACCCAGTCTTTTTAACCATCCATATATGCGTCACCGAATGGAACTAGTTGAAAGGGAAATCTTATCTGTGAATCTTGCCTACAGGCGTGAAAGAGGACATGATGTCTTTCCCATCCGCCATTTTTTGATATCGTTACCGCAAAATTTTGCAAATCGCCTTGACGTATCCGTCATGCTATAACATCGTGATTATACGACAAGTTTTCATACAGCATATTTAATAGCGGATATCAGCTAATATTGTTAACGCTTGCAATTAATGAGTTGTATAGGTTTTTTCAATGTCAAACGGTTGTAAATTTAATACTATGTTTTTCATCTGTGATCGGTTGAGGATATTTTTTTTATTTTTTAACGACCAACACATTTTTTACGAGGTACATCCGCAACAAAGCCGACTATAAAATAGTATAGCTATATTTTGCCAGTGACGCACCCAGCAAATAATACAATATAGCGATTTTCAGTAAATTATGGTCATAATTGTAAAAAATTGTTAGGCTTTGAACTTACGAATGAATTATGCTATGTTGTCGAACGTTATAAACATGTCAAAAACGCCTGAAGTAGCCAAAAATGCGCTTAGCATATATGATTAACTACCGCAAAATCAACATTGCTTTAGACAGGCTGCCCATCGTTAATTTCAACCCATGCGAGGCCTTCAACCTGATCTATCACACCTTTGTTCGTTTTAACAACGCTCGGGCAACTGATAAACGACGGTGACGTCATCACATTGTCTTTGATGTTATTTAACCATGGCGTCTGTTTGTAAGTCACGCAACATTCAACATGCTGCTTCGAGGGAACTTCCTTGTGGTCATTCTGGCTATAGTGCTGCTAGTACTAGGTAGGACTTTTACTTCATTCACTTGTTGACTTCGTTAAAAAAATATACATAAACGTAAACGTTAACTTATGACTTGGAATCGTTTATACTTTTTTCTTTTTTGGTCTTCATTTCTATAATAATTATAGTTTGTTAGTTATGCAAAAATAGCTGTATGTGTTTATAGGGATGTCGATATCGCATCACCATTAATCCAAGTCAAGTATATTTTCATTTATCGAAATTGCTTAGTACATGCACGAAAGCCGTTAAAGAATGAAACAAGGTTCTTTATTTCAATACAAATACACCATCACTGGTTTACAAAAATAGCAAAGCCCAGTTCTTTATAAAACCATAATGCACTGTAGTGACGTCACTCTTTCCTTAATTTCACTGCTTGGTTTATTATCAAACCGTTATTCACTGTAAAAATGTAAATTCTGAGAGATCATTTTTGAAATTTGTGATTTTTTCTGTATGTTTAATGGTTTGGTTTTGGCCAGAAATAGTCAGAACTATTAATTGATACATCCAAGAAATCACCTCTTTATCTCAACATTTTAAATTGTGTCCATTTTAATTGAGAACAGATTAAAGATTGTTGATATTATTTGGGAGTTTGCTTTTGTATTCGCGCAATTTCTGATTTTTGATTCTGGATCATCTTTCTAGTATTTGTTTATTATACACAACGTGCCTCTTTAATTTGTTTGTGTTAAATTTTAATAGTGTCACATTATAAGCACTGCTTAAATACAATAGCAGACATCTAAAAATGAATATTTTGGCCATTCTGTGTAATTCCATCGTTCTTTTAGTATCCGAGGGATTTGCCGGTCGTAAAGGTGGCAAAGATAAAGATGGAAAAGGTCGCAAAGGTGGTAAAGGTCGCAAAGGTGGTAAGGGTGGTAAGGGTCGCAAAGGTGGTAGAGGCAGAAAGTTTGGACCTTGCTCAAATATTTGTGAAGTGGAACTTCTTAAAAATTGCCCGAGTATTTGTGGACTTGAACCGGTATAGTATCTAATGTGATAATAATATAATGTAGTATTCAATTAAATGCTTGAAATTTAAATAATCGAGCTCTATTAATTTTAGAGATTGAATATTAACAAAACGTTTCCTTCCATCTGTGAATTTAAAATTTAATATAAATTTAAAATTCACAGCAGATATTTCATGTTTTTTAACCCGATTTCATCCATAACATATCATGTGTTTGACCAAAACTGCGGATTTATACATGTATCTGTTTTGTTGTTTTATTTACTCTCAAACAAGCGTATATCTATACATCAATAGATCATTAAAATTTGAGTTTCAGCATTTCAGAAGAATGAAAAGTTCAGTTTATCATTATAATACATTTTGTGATAAATAATAAAATAATAAATTATTGATACTATTTTATTAAGAAATGTTCTTATTTAGGGGTATGACTGCGTTGTTAGCTGTTGGAATAGGTGCCTGAAAGATATAAATCTGCCTACAAAACTTGCTCTGGAACCGTGTATGAAAAGATGCACAACAGGTCCTTCTCCCCCGCCTCCTCCTCCCCCTCCCCCTCCGCCTTCAAGACGAGGTGAGTATCTGACATCAGCAAATTAAGAATAGAGAGGGGATTAGATGAATTATATTGCAATACATAATCACAGATAATTTCTAATCATCTTAAACCAAAAGGCGAAACAGCTACGTTCAATAAATGTTTTGATTAAGATTTTTGAGACAAAATACGTATAGCTAATAAAAATCGAATAATTGCAAAAATTCAGATTTAACTTTGCTCGATCTCTTTAGATGTTTTTTGGATTTTTTTAAATTTTTGAGTGGAGTATTTCATGATCTTATAATGTTTTCTTGTCACGTGTGAGATTGAAAGCGGTTTGAGACAGTCATATCTTTGAGCATATATTATTTTTGGACCATATTTCAAGTATTTTTCGTTCAGACAATGTGTTTCCCTCAAATATACGCACTGCTGGGTTAACAATTAAAAATACTGTACGATGCTATGATACTTCTCAAAAGTTACTTTCCAAATCACATACATGCTTATACATAAAGGTTGATATATTTTTCATTTCTAATAGTATGTAGATGGAGTGCTTGGAGCGTCATACAACAAGGCGCTTGCTCAGTGACATGCGGCAATGGATCACGAACAGTTACACAAACTAGGACTAAGATTTACTCGTTTTCGAATTTCGGGAATCCAGAGTGTATCGGATCTTCTATTAACCAGCGTGTCGTACCTTGTACAAATCCAATTTGTGGTCAATATTTTCAAGATAGTTTCTTATTCAAATTTCGGAAATCCAGAATGTATTGGGGTCTACTATTAATCAGCGTGTCGTACCATGTACAAATCAACTTTGTCCTCTCCCCCTCCGCCTCCTCAAAGACGAGGTCAGTATTTAAAGGTAGTGTCTTCATGAACATGTTAGTGACTGGGAAACGGATTTCCTCGAATAAAGAAATACAAGTTCTTACTAATTTAATATGTTATCGTATGATCTGGAAATAAAGCCCTCTGATTAGTCAGTTATTGTGATGTACCGATATGTATTGCTACTGAGATTGTCCCAATCGATCATCTCCGTAGCAATACAGAAAATATTGGTTCTCGGAAAAAATACTAGGCTTGGCTTCGCCCCGCCTAGTGTTTTTTCGTCGGATAGGTTTTCTGGCATATCCACCTCATGGTCATTCAGAATGTGTTTAGTACCTCAACTGTAAACTTTGAAAGTACTGTTGACCTCGACCTCTGTTCTCGGTCAACAGTACTTTCAAGGTAACCAGTATCAGTATACAATTTTCCCATTTTACCTCAAGATAAGTCTTCAATTGCATATTGTTGCTTGAGAACGGGAGAGTATTCAATATTTTTACGATTTATTTGTCTATATTCATAATATATTCATAATCATTCTAACCTGTTTTTCTTGACTGGTATGCACTTAGAGTTTGCTTTTTATTGCTAAGTTCCATAACAACTTTTGGTCCTTTCCCTTTGGCACTTGTGCTTAGATATTATATCAATTATTGTATATTACTGATTTTTAGAGATTATTTATGATATAGGTTTTAATCATTGTGTTTATTAGGTTATTTGTCCATAGTGTTTACATGAACTGTTTAAATATACAGTAGAACTCAATGAACATGAGAAGTGTACAATTTCTCAATTTCTTTCCCCTCTTTTGATAGTGCTGACCAAACGCGTTACGCAACCTTATTAATGAAAATCATCTACTCTCCAAATGTCCCCCGTCGAATAATATAAGAGAAAAAACTTTTGGAAGAACCGAGAAACATGCCAGCAATGAACTGCTTTTTTATGGTATGCTCTACAGGGCAAAAACAAACTATTTGTTGTTTGTGTGTGAGGGGGCAGAGATGAATTTAGCCATGCAATACTTAAGTTTGGAAGAATTTTGCATTGTTTTTGTTTGTGTGATTGTATTAAGACGCTAACACATATCTGCTATACGTATTCATGTTGGTAGCCATATTTGTTATTTTCTTTATATTCTTTGTATTAACAGGGCCAGTAATGCTGAATCCAGACTAAAGCCATGTATGCTATGCAAATTAGAATAAAGAAATAATAAAAACTAAACACCCATAATAAAATATATTGCAAACTATGTGACATGTGATATTTTATTTTTCGACAGTTTGTAGATGGAGTGCTTGGAGCGTCACGCAACAAGGTGCTTGTTCAGTGACATGCGGCACAGGATCACGAACAGTTACACAAACTAGAACTAAGATATACTCGATTTCGAATTTTGGAAATCCAGAGTGTATCGGGTCTCCTATTAACCAGCGTGTCGTACCTTGTACAAATCCAATTTGTGGGAGACGAGGTCAGTATTTTTAAGATAGTTTCTAAGTGGACTTGTTACTGATTAGAAAACAGATACAGTCGAATAATAAGATGCATTTTTGCAAATGATACAATAAATTATAGACGATATTTCATTCTTCACCTGTATTTCATATTTTGTGCGTTGCTTATATTCGAATCTTGAAATAAAGAACTAGTGCGCTGTAAAATGTACCATATATTATTTAACAATTAATAAGGTTTCTCTAGTTCTTTTTCATATCTTAGTAGTCTCACAAACACATAATGCTGAATCCAGACCAAAGCCCTGCCATATGTTTGTAATGTAAATTAGAATAAAGGAACAATAAAACTAAACTACTCCCTTAATGAAATTTATTGCGAACTATATGACATTCTGTCAAAGTTGATATTATATATTTTTCGACAGTATGTACATGGAGTGCTTGGGGCGTCACACAACGAGGTGCTTGCTCAGTGACATGCGGCACAGGATCACGAACAGTTACACAAACTAGAACTAAGATATACTCGATTTCGAATTTTGGGAATCCAGAGTGTATCGGGTCTCCTATTAATCAGCGTGTCGTACCTTGTACAAATCAAATTTGTGACAGACGAGGTCAGTATTTTTAAGATAGTTTCTTAGTGGACTTGTTACTGATTAGAAAACAGATACAGTCGAATAATTAGATGCAATTTTTGCAGTGATACAAAAAATGTTCGTTATTGTATAAGACTATGTGGTTAACTGCTAATTATAAAAGTCACAATTCCATATCATATACATGCTTAATATAGATCGGGGTTATTCTATTTTCATTTTAAGTAGTATGTAGATGGAGCGCCTGGACCGTTACGCAACGAGGCGCTTGCTCAGTGACATGCGGCACAGGCACACGAACAGAAACACTAACTAGGACTAAGATATTCTCAATTTCGAATTTTGGGAATCCACAGTGTGTTGGGTCTCCTATCAACCAGCGTGTCGTGTCATGTATAAACCAACGGAATCCCGTTTGTCCCCCTCCCCAGAGACGAGGTTGGTATTCACAGTTAGCGTTAATATGTAAATTTATTTTGTACATACAGGTGAACTGTTGTTCTATCGTCTACTGATACTGGATGGATTTGGATTTTTTCAATATGATTGATTGTAGTCTTCGATGTTTCATATATTGCCATTATTTATAAAACTTTTGAGTAAGCTTTCCTTTGGCACTTTTTCAAACATAATTGTTCATAATTGTATTGTTTGTGTTTTTGAAGCACTTGATATTTTAACTTCATTTTAAATGAAGCCAACCAATACACATGTACAGATGTTGGCCCTAACATTGAGTTTAAATGTAAGTTTTATTTCATTGAAATTAGAAATCACGAACATTGAAGAAAGACCAATGGTTTCAAAAACCAAAGTAGATTGTAGATAGCAGGAAAGTAGATCTTTATTACACGCATTATTAGGTTGCGTTAGGTTATATCGCAATCCAATAAAGTATGTTTTGAAGATTTACTTTTGTTCTATGAATACATAATTCAAACACTAACACCATTTTACATGGGGTTAGTGAAGAAAAAAAGTTTCAAAACCTTTGGATGGAAGTGTATTAAGAATAACAAAAGTGTCAATTGGTATGTAACACTGCGTAAGTGTTGCAATTTATGCTATCTTTGGAGTTCGACATTATGTCAGTGTCCTAATTTTTAAAATTCATATGGGGGGGGGGGGTTTAGACATTGTTTCCTTGTTTCTTTTCACGTTGCATTATGGTTTGGATAGTTCGGAGTTTATTTTCTTTACACTTTAATGTTTTCATTTTGAACATTTTTGGTTGTTCCCCGTTGGTACTTGTGCTTGCATATGATCTTTATCTTTCACAGTATGTACATGGAGTGCTGTCTGTCAAGGTTGATATTATATTTTTCGACAGTTTGTACATGGAGTGCATGGAGTGTCACACATCAAGGCGCATGCTCAGTCACGTGTGGCACAGGATCACGAACAGAAACACAAACAAGATCTAAGATATACTCGTTTTCCAATTTCGGGAATCCAGAATGTCTCGGGTCTGCTGCAACAGCGTATTGTAGCTTGTACAAAACCAATTTGTCAAACAATAGGTCAGTATTTTTTATAGATAGTGCCAAATGGACATTAAAGATAGCCGTACACCTACCTACATTTATGGGATATTATTTGAGGGATATTTTATCAAGAGAGCAATTTTGCAGCCGTTTATTTTTATAATAATGCAACAACCCTGGGTAGTTACTTTTTATATGTCATGCCCAGTTTAATTATTTATTATATATGTTCATGTAAATATTTGTATTTCAATTTATTGTAAGGTTAGCAAGGACTTTTAAACGTTTTATAACTTTTGAATTTGTTGCCAAAACCTTATGCCTAGTTTAGATTAGCGTTTGGGAGAGGCACACATGGAGAATTTTTAAATTGACATAACTTTATATCTGCTGATTAAATGGTCTATAAATGGAGGACTTAAGGTCATAAGTTAGGATAGTATATGATTCTGTTAACAGTAAATGGCCTAGGGTAAGGATGTTAGTTTTGAACAGAAATAGACGGCTTAGTCAAGTGACCTAATTTTGCAAAATTTTAGAATCTACATCATTTCTTAGTTGCTATTGTTGATTCCAATCAGAATTATGTCTCCATTTTATGATTACATTTAAAGCATGCCGCTGGGGTGCTTGGGGACCCTGGGTGTACGGCACGTGTGCAAGAAATGCATTACCCCCGACTCTAACATGCCTTGCACCTGGAACGACACTTTGCCAACGAACCCGTCAGTGTGTCTGCTTTGGCAAACGAACTACTGGTATTATACAACAAAATTGCATCGGAGCTTCGATAGAGCGTAAAACAGGGCCATGCTGCGTAGGTCTTCCTCCACCTCCTCCTACCCTACCAACCACACCCCCTCCTAGTAAGTGTATCATAATGTATACTTTTTATATACGAGGGTATATCATAAAGTTCTCATAATATCTCTCTAATTTTTTTATTTTTCAGTATATTCTAATGAAATTTTCAGAGAATATGCAGTATAGAATACTTTATTAATCTATCAAAAAATATTTGATATAACAGAAATATTAGATAAGTAATGGTTGCCATAGTAACCAGAAATCAAGGCACCGGGGGCAAATAAAAATAATTGAGAGAATGAGCTTAATTAACCTTGTTTACATACATAATAAACTCTCATAAATTATCAAACACATTAAAATGTTATCTTGAATATGTTGTTTAATGCTTTTACTATAAAATAAATTGATCATGTGGATTGTGTGGTGTCATAGGGGATGCTTACATGCTTCATTAGATGTGATACCAGACTCTGAGAATCAAAGCTTAATGATCAGAAATGACTGAGTAAGATAATGCGTAGATGCAGGGATCATCAGAAAAATAATGTTCACACTGATAAAAGTTTAGTTTAGTTCGAAAAATCCTTTGCTCATACTAAAGATGATCTAAAACAAATATATTGCAAAGATATTAACATAATTACACCCTCTGTGTGGTTTCTTATTTATTTAAGATGAACTAAAGTGGAAAATCGACTTTTCTTGGAATACTTGACAAAACAGTTGTTTTGTCTCACATCACTTCTAATGAAGCATTACAATCATCCATGATGAGATTACACAATTCACATGACCATTATAATAGTTCAAAACAGTCAAGAATACATGGAATTTAACAATTTGATGTGTTTCATAGCTTATTTGATAACTTATTATGCATTTAAACATGGTTACTTGGGACTTAGGTGACTTGGGATTTTTTATTTGCCCCGGGTGCCTTGGTTTCCGGTTACTATAGCAACCATTTCTTAAATAATATTTCAGTTATAGCAAATATTTTTGATAGATTAATACACCATTGTATACTACAGATTCTGTGAAAAATTCATCAGAATATATTGAAAAATAAAAATATTAGAGAGATATTATGAGAACTTTATGATATACCCTCGTATTTATCTGTTAAACAAGAAACGTTTGCATTCTATATTCTAGTCATTATTTATATTTATTTTATTTATAAATAAAGCGTGTCGCTGGGGTGCTTGGGGACCCTGGGTCTACGGGACGTGTGTAAGAAATGCATTACCCCCGACTCTAACATGCCTTGCACCTGGAACGACACCTTGCCAACGAACCCGTCAGTGTGTCTGCTTTGGCAAACGAACTACTGGTATTATACAACAAAACTGCATCGGAACTCCGATAGAGCGTAAAACAGGGCCATGCTGTGTAAGTCTACCCCCACCCACTCCTACACTACCAACCACACCCCCTCCTGGTAAGTGTGTCACAATGTACTTTATATATTTCTGACGCCAACCATGTTCCACGTCATCGCATGTCGAATCATTTACATCATGCAATGGCTTCCACGATCCTTGAAAAGTATAGTGTATTTATTGCATCAATATTCGTAACATTAATATATTCGGTTTTTACCCCACAGAGTAAGTTAAACCGAACATAAACAAAACCAGTTACAACAAATGAGACCTACTATCCCACATGTAATTGACTGTCTTACACAACAAATATGTAAGATGCTTCAAAACTTTATTCGATCCGATCAAATATAAATTTGATAAGTATTTTAAATATATGCGATGTCAAGTATCATTCGTATTGGGTAAACATATTCATTTGTGGTAAACATATTCATTTGTGGGGTAAGTCACGTGACTTACCGAATGATTTTATAACCAATGTTCACTGTTTTGATGTGGGGTAAGTCACGTGACTTACCGAATGATTTTATAACCAACGTTCGCTGTTTTGATGTGGGGTAAGTCACGTGACTTGCGCCATCTATATATTTTTCACGAAGCAATGGTGTATGCAGCAGTGTGATATTTTACTTACGTATACATCCTGGATTATTGACATCTTTAAACTATAGAAGCTCAGTAAGTATAATTATTTTAAACAATACAATGTTAACAATGCAACTCATACTTTAATCTTGTCTTTGGTTACGTTTATTCTCTTATAAGCTTAGAAAAGTTTCCCCCGCATTTTCCTAATCTAAACTGAGTCAGCAACATTTTTGTCGAGTTCTATTTCACTTGAGTTGCGGAGTTTTGTGGTCGAAAAATAGCTAGATAAGTAGTATTTCGACATAATTCAGCCACTGAAAATGCTTTTCAAAGAGAAAAGTCTTACATGTATCCCTAGTTCACTAAAAAAAATAAATGAAATAAATCTGAGTTGACCATAGGGCTAGATCTATTCTAGATTGATATGATAGATCTAGTCTATTCATTGTAGGCCTACTTGTAGGCCTATTATGGGAATTTTTTTGTATATTTCAGATGGTTGGTATAATGTGCATTATGTAATTTAGGGAGCAATTTGAAAAATCAGCCCCTCATTTTAGATCTACTTCAGCCATTTTAATTTTCCTGAAAATAAAATGGCAGAGCTGCATCAAAATCTAAGAGGCCATACATATGATCACGGGATGTATCAAAATCACTACATCCCAGAAAACCATTAAATTTGAAGCCTAGTAATAGCAGGTGTTTGAAAATCAAGGATTGTGAGTGTCACACTACACGATTTTCTTCAAACTTGTTCCATACAGGGCCTTCACTGAAATTATCTTTCAGTCGATTCATCATGCTTTTGTGTAAAGAGTCCCTCGTTTTAATGGTGTTTTCAGTGGTCCACAGCTACCTGTCAGATCAAGCAAATTTTCATGGATTTCAACAATAAGACATTAGACAGTCTAACTGTTATCTTCTTGTCAGTCTTTTGCCAATTCGTCTCACCCATAATTTCAGAATGGGCCCTCATTACAACCCTCCATCCCATGTTTTCATCATTTTGGGCATTTAATTAAGCATTTTCGAAATCACATGCAGAATGGCACACATCTGCACACATTTGAACAATTAAAAATTAAAAGGAATTGTTTGATGTTTTTTGTGGCAAGGTGAATTTTCATTCCCTTTAGTTACCTCTGCAAAGCTTGCCTTGTGTCATATTAAAATTCCCAATGGTTATAATGACTATCTGAGCCTTCAAACTTTTGTCAGTTGTAATGTATTTATTTTCAGAATTAGATTAGCATGACTGACAGTAGACCACGTAAGCGTATAAGCATCAAAAGGAACAGGAGAGAAGCCCATGGCAACGTAAGTTTATATCATTCTGTTGTATTTAAGTCTATGTCAATGCATTAGAAAAGAGCATTTTTGTTTTAAAGCTCAATGATCTATTCAAATTTTCCATCTAAAATATGTCAGTGAACCACTCCTACTGAAAAGAAAAGTCGCACAAATAACAACTACTCACATCGTTCGAGTCAATTACCAAAATATGTCATAGTACCCAGGGGCACACTCTTCCACCACCATCAACAAAAGTCCTTTAGTAAAAATATTCAGGATTTACTGTTTAAAGTTTTTTTTCTAAATTCCTGGTTGTGATTGGTGCTTCCCTTTTTGTGGGAACCCAAAGAAAATGTGACCTTCTCCTATGTAAATGCTGGCTACGCCCCTGTTCCTACACTCATTCTATTATTAAGCATGACTTTTATTTCTTTTCAGTTGGCAATGGTGCCAGACACGCTTGAACAGTTGCTAGATCTTGCAGCAAGCTTGACGGGTGAACCAGTAAGCAGGCTCTATACTGAAGGTGGTCACATTATCCCAACTGTGGATGTCCTTAGAGATGATGACATTGTCATTGCCGGTGGAGACGAGCCAATTCTTCCAGGTAATTTATGAAGTTTCTCATTATATATCAAATTCAAAGTCAAACATTATGGAATGGCAAATTCTAGAAAAATTCTGCATTTTATCAAAGCTTTTTTGGTCAAAATTGTGTGAAAATAAAAATAATTGGCCAACCCTTATAAAAAATCCAACCTTGAAAGTCCGAATTTAAACCGTTTCCATCAATCATTGAATACTGATTGTTTCAACTACTAAGATCAAAGGAAAAACCATTGTATGATGATAAGCAATCATTGTGCAACCATTGCGTTCAATCAAGCAAAGTCAACTCTTTTTCAACGACTGCGCAACCATTTCAATACAATCATTGTAATCTGCAACCATTGTAAACTGCAACCATTTCACATTGAAATGTAAATGGTTGCAATATGTTTTGTTCAATGATTACATAATTCAACCCCTGCAACCATCCTGAATTAGTATCGTTCCAAAAAATAATCATTTTACCTGAATTAAAATTATATTTAAGTAAGGATTTGAATCTACCTCTATTCAACAACAGTATATTAGGATATTTTTTCTGCAAGCATACATGCATGTTTATTATAGTAAATTACTAAATTCATGTTCATATGTTTCTTTCTCCAGTACAGATTTAGGAATGTGATACCAGACTAGTTTTCCACTCAGTCGCATATGATAATTTATGTTCTCTGTCATTTACATTATTTACACAATTAAAAGTACCATATCTAGTGTTTATTTCCCTTTATCTGATATTGCCAAAACGATGTATCTTTAATGAAAAGAATTGAGCAAAATTCCAATTTGGTTTAGAAATTAACCATGGAAAATCTTAAGATTTCCTTTAAACTTAACAAATCACAAGATGAGACACAATGGTTTTGGTTCACGATTAGACTGATACAGGGTGTCCAAAAAAAAACAGGACCGTAAGAAAGTTGAATAACTCGGTCAATTTTGCATATTTTGCCTTGAAATTTCAGAATTATTTAGTTCATTCAATGTGAATTTTGTTGTGAAAGTTTGATAATAATCTACCAATTGAGTCAAAAACTACAGCTCCTTACAAAACATGCCCCAAATGTGCAAATCTCATCTCTATGCACAATTCAATCCGGCGAACAAAGCTGTTGATGATCCTCCTACACACATGTCTTTCTGAATGGACAAGTTTGTTCCAAGAACAATTGCTACTAGGGCTTACATCCTCCTGATGAAGTGTTACAGCATCCATTGCATTCTGAACAATGCACTTGCTGGGTGGCAATGAGGAAACATGGAATCATCAGTCCCTTTTGGGTCGAAGGTGACTTGGGACTTGCTATCAGCATGAACAAGGACCAGTAAGTTCTCACCAAGTTTTGGAGGTCACTAAGCACCAGAAGGGACATCTAAGGAGATAATTAAACAGTGGTTTCAACAAACCAATAACACCTCAACACTGCAAATGATATGCTGAAATGGTTTAGGCAATGCGTTGGTGGACAGCTCATCAGTTGCAGAACCCAAACCATATGGGCAGCTCATTTGCCTGATCTAAATCCCCCAAATTTTCATCTTTGAGGATTTCTCAAAGCCAATGTGTATACTGACAGGCCCCTAACAATCTTAAGAGGCCAATAACTACCCCAATATTTACCATCCACATTAATGTGTATAGGTTAGGGTCATTAACAACTTTGTTCGCAGGATTCGTTTGTGCATAGAGAGGAAAAGTGCCCACTTTGGGCATGTTTTGTAAAGGACTGTAGTTTTTGACAAAATAAACAGATTATCATCAAACTTTCAGAACAAAATTCTCATTGAATGAACTAAATAATTCCTAAATTTCAAGGCAAAATATGCAAAATTGACCGAGTTATTCAACTTTCTTACGGTCCTGTTTTTTTTTGGACACCCTGTATATGATCAAAAGAAGCAGGATATGATGTACAAAATAATACAAACATATGTAATCACAAGTTGATTGCTTTATTTAGTGAAAATGTTTTTATAGTAATAATGCATTCAGGCAGCAAAGACTAAATTTTCACAGTTTCAATTGGAAAACATCTGAATTAATAATTTCAGTAAAATTTTGTCAAGGTAGATGAATTATATTTATATATACAAATAGATTGGTATGGATACGATGAACAGGCCAGTAGCCAGCCCCCCCCCCCCTTGGCAAAATGGGTCTTCAAATGTTTCCATATATGTGTAGTTGCCACCTAATATCAAGAGTATGACTCACTAAAATTTAAAAAATACAAACAAGAGAACTATTTTGATATTGACTGTATATTATTTGTGAAACACATTTTCACAACAGATTTAATTATCATGTTCTTTCTTGTTGGCAAATATTTTTTATAATAATGCTCAACACAACAATACCTACTACATATTGATATTCTCATGGGTTTAGGCAAATCAAAATGCTTGAACAGCCAATTAAAACGGTTGAACAGCTAATTAAAACGGTTGAACAGCTAAAACGGTTTAACAGCTAATTAAAATGCTTGACCAGAAAAACGGTTCATAGTCCTAGTTTCTGTTATATCTATTTTCATCTTGTGTTATACTATATATTTATTTTTATTCTCTATTTCATGCAGAGCGGGGGGGGGGTAAAAATTTAAAAAGTGTTTTCAGATTTTTGAGGGTTTATTTCTTTATTCAATTACTTCAATAAGTGCTGAGAAATCTCAAATAGCAAGTATATGAAACTGCAAATAATATTTTCAGAATTTTTTATTTCATTTTTATTTAGTTTGTTTTACCATGGGCATTCAATAGATTGAAAGTCCAAGGTTTTACTGTATTCACTAGGGCAGAGCATTTGTACTGAAAAGTGTTTTCAGTTTAAATAATATGTGTAAATGATTAAAAAATAAAAACCAAAAACAGGGCTTGTTTTTCAAAACTCTAAACTTGGAAAAATCTGGAGGAAAATACGGATGCTTCCTTTATAGCAGACTCTAATCAAACTGAGAGTCTCTCTGTGATAGGGTTTGTTTTGCCTTGCCGAATTATTTTTGTTTTGTTTATGGATTAATGGATTAATAAAGTTTCTTTAGACACATCCTTCAAAGCAGACTCTAATCAAACTAGAGAGACTGAGTCTAACTGTAATCAGAGTTTTTAAGATATGCTTATTGACTTAATTATTTAAAACACATCCTGTAATGTCTGATTGCATTTTGTCTATCAAATCAAAAATATCAAATCAATAAACAGATTATTTTCCGATTGAAGGATTTCTTCCTTCCAGACACATCTTCCTTCCTTTATAATTGTGATGACTGCAAGGTGAAGTGTAAAATCCAAGACTTGACCCAATCAAAATTTTTTCAAATGTTTTTGCAATAACTTAAAAAGTAGTGAAGGGATTTTGTAAAAATGATAGTCATGACAGCGAGGGGATTTGCTATGCCTTAGCATTGCTGTTAACTAGATAATATACATGTTAGTGGGACAATCACCATCCTTCAAAGTTAGATGAAAATTGGTTCAATATCTTTTCATTCACAAGACAAGTTTACTAAACTATTTCAATACTCTAAATATCTTTTTGATCAAACCATTTAAATTCTGACATGTATGCATGATATACATACATTTGAAATATATTTTTTAAAGAGCGAGATAATTATTTTATGTTGTATTGAGATAATATTGCCATAGTTTTGAAGGGTTGCATTCGATTGAAACGGTTGCAAGAAATGCAACCAAAATTGTCAAGCGTTTACAATGGTTACATATGATTGAAACATTTTCAATGAGTTTACAACCAAAATTGTAATGGTTGCATCGTAACGGTTGGCATGGTTGCATAAATGATCGGATCAATGATTGTCCAATGATTGTGCAACGGTTTAAATTCGGACTTTCAAGGTTGAAATTTTTATAAGGGAAGAGCAATAAAAAACAAGTATCATGTTTTCACATAAAAACAAGAAATGGTACATTTCAGAGTATGCTACCCTGGCACTGTTTTCAATAGATTGTACTCCTAGCTTTATTGAAAGAGATTCCAACCCATGTATTTGGAAGAACATCCATATGAAATATCAGTAATATGATTATATTTCCCATCTACTGAGTGGTTTGGTTTGATTCAAGGAAGAAGCTAGGCTAAGTAACATTATTGATGTAAATGTAGTTTTGGGTATTTTAAATAACAGACATAATGCATACATTGGTAAAAAGTCAATACCTGACAATTTTATTGCACCCTTGTGTGCTATATTGTGATTAGTTTGGTGGGCGGTCAGTCAGTCGGGTGGGCGGGCGTCCAAGATATCTTGTCTACTATTGACTTGTCTGTCAAAGCTTGTCTACAGGTTTCCAGCCAAAACGTTGAGGGATTCATTTGAAATTATCAGGAATGGTTCTACCTATGGGAGTTTAGAACTGATCAGTTTTTTGGCATTCTTGGTAAATCTTTCCATCCTAAAATCTTGTCTGTCAAAGCTTGCCCACAGGTTTTCAGCCAAACTGTTTGAGGGATTCATTTGAAATTTTCAGGGATGTTTCTCCCCATGAAAGTTTTGAATTGATTAGGTTTTTCAGCATTCTGGGTAAATCTTAATGTTGGAATTTCCATCTTAAAATTTTGTCTTTTGAGGCTTGTTTTCAGGTTTCTAGGTTTCATGGATTCATCTTAATATGTCATCTTAATATGTCAGTCTGGGTAAATGTTAGTGTGGCCATTTTGGAGTTTTTGTCCCAAAACTGTATTCTATTCAAGGATGCGATTCTGTTCACTCTATGTCTTGTTTCGTTATGAATAGCGAATGATGAATCACCAAAACATGTCAAGTTGGCCACCACTTCAAAAGTTACCAAATTTAGGTCAAATACAAATTATTCTTGCAACTAAAGTAATATTTAATTATGTACATGTATAACTTTTTCACTTTTTCAGTAGTATTTTGTATGTCATAGACTAGTCAAAGATGGCAGTGATAAAATATAATTATTGATATTTGCACAGGTCATGTAAACACCCAAGCGACTATAAACACTTTAAATGAGGCGTCATCTTCAACGCAACAGGAACTCTCTAACCTGTTCAAACCCTATAACCGGTCATCAGCTTTAAGTACTGGGAGGCAGCAGAGGAGGGGTCGGAGAGAGAGCAGGGCAGGCCGAAAGAAAATCTACCAGTATTCCAAACCACTCATAGTGCTGAGGGATGATGGTGTGGCGCCCCTGACTGCCAATAAGGATACTGTCATTTTAAATGGGCACATGAGTTTTACCAGTGCTGACGAAGCAGATGTGATGCAGCAAAAGGTAATTGGCTTTCCTCTCATATTTGTACTTATCATATAAAGAGTGGGGTTTTAGATACATAACAGCTTGTTTAGATTCTACGCCATTTTGAAATTTCGAAAAAATCGATATGATGGTGGTATCCTGATGAAGAGTCAAGAGTTGTGAGAAAAATATTGATAAATTATCTCTTGTTATCATATAGTTTCACTAACTCTAAGATAACAACTTAAATAGTTGCATAAATTCTAAGATAATAGCTTAAATAGATTCTCCATTATAATGCATTCTTTCCTGTCTTGACTGGTATTCCATTCCTCATTTAATATAAATTTGCATTTCAGATTTGTGACATTCTAAAAGCTGCTGGTGAGACGACAGCATTTGTATTTGTAAAGTGTATAAACAAGAAGGTGCAGAGAACCTGTGTGGCACAAGGCTTTCAGTGGGATGGGCGAGCAGTCCATAGCCATGCTGGTCAGGGGAGTATCTATATAATCTTAGAGGTAAACTAACTATACATACCGAGTACTAATGTTTACCTAAACACTGTTCCACAACTGGTTACCAGGGGGGGGGGGGGGCATCCTCCGATCACAGGGCTTCAAAATCCAGAATATATTCTTTCTTTTTACCCCCTGCTATAACCAATTTGGAAGCGCCCGATTTAACTGAATCACGTGATCTAATTATGCTCAATGACTTATACATGATTTCTGTCGCAATGTTGCGACAGCCAATCAGATTGCGAGTTCTTAATCGGGGAAATGCTAACTGCTTATCGCAGGGGGAAAAAGGAGGTACGGATTCTGGACACCTGCTTAGGAGGATGGGGGGGGAGAATCCCAAAGATGACCTGTAATATTCGGCACGTTTAATGACCTATTTATGCCGTTGAAATGGATGGATTTCAAATTTTACTGTACGCATGCACAGCACTGAATTAGCACGTGCTCATGATTGTTCATGTGATCACATCCTGCAATTTGATTGGATGTCATATTATGGGGAATCTTCGAATATGATAAAATATGGAAGAATTGTGGGAGCTACTCACTTCTTCTGACTGGCTACTTCGATGGAATATCAAAGTAACAAAATGGATGAACTTCCTGTTTACAAGTTTTTTTGTTTTTTTTTAGATTTGAATTACTAAAGAGATCATCTAAATGCATGAATTACAGCTTTATACAAAAATCTAATTCAGGTTGAAATTGAGAAAACAGAGAGACTCCTACCTACCCTACCTACCTACCTACCTACCTACCTACCTACCTACCTACCTACCTACCTACCTACCTACCTACCTACCTACCTACCTACCTACCTACCTACCTACCTACCTACCTACCTACCTACCTACCTACCTACCTACCTACCTACCTACCTACCTACCTACCTACCTACCTACCTACCTACCTACCTACCTACCTACCTACCTACCTACCTACCTACCTACCTACCTACCTACCTACCTACCTACCTACCTACCTACCTACCTACCTACCTACCTACCTACCTACCTACCTACCTACCTACCTACCTACCTACCTACCTACCTACCTACCTACCTACCTACCTACCTACCTACAGTGTAGTTATTTGATTGATTGTTATTTGATTGATTGAATAATTCATTCAATATTTTTAAGGATGAAAACATTCCAAGCATTTCTCCGCCGAGACCAAGAAGGGAGACACCTTCAACACCTACAGCTACAACTGTGTCAACAAGACCTATTTCTTCAACACCTTCAGCTACACCTGTGTCAACAAGACCTATTTCCCAACAAGCTGCATCAAGACGACAACATATTCCTACCCAAGCTGCATCAATGCGTTCAGGCAGACATAATGCAGATATGCCAGTTTATACCCACCGGGATATTTACCATGCGTAAGTGATTAATAAACATGCAGTAGTGCTGCAATCCTGTTTCATGTGAAACCAAGTTCTTTCTTGCCAGGGAAATGCTATTTTAGAATGATAAAGTATGGGCTTTTCAAAATTTATTTGAAATATTTCACTCATATTTTTGTGGCTCTTGATTCAATCTATCAGATGCAGGCACTGTTATGGATCGTATCTATATCTATATCTACATATACTGTATTGATTATGTGCATGTATTGTATCCGTTTATCTGTTTCTGTAGAAAGTTCTGTCATGTGGAGTCTTAGATTGAACTTTTTTCAATCTAATATCTAGTTTCTGTTTGTTCTCTGATTTAGAGCGGGAGTTGAACTTGCAGAGGAAGAGAATTCATCCCTTCATCCTCGTGATCTGTATGACCACCTGAATCCAACAGAATCACTGATCATTGAGAGGTCAGCTGATGATTCTGGGTAAGTGATAATATAACATCGGAGCTCTCCCCATGATTTTTTCTCAAGTGGATGCAAAATATGCCAATTTTTCACAGTTTTTCTCAATTTCAAGTGGGTGCAAATGGATTTTCAGGTGGGTGAAAGGCTGTTTTCAAAATCTCAGGTGGGTGCTTTAATGCTCAGGAGACCACTGAACATCATGTAATGTTTGGTTCATACCATTCTTCTTCAGTTAAAAATGCTTGAATTTTGATGTATATACTCAGGATTGATTGGGTTTTTATTATCCCATCGAACGAAGTTCGGAGGGATATAGGGAACGCCTCCGTCCGTCTATCCGTCCGTCTGTCCGGGCAATAACTCAAATACCGTTGGCCCGATTTTGTTCATATTTTGTACACATATACCCTATGGGGGTAGAAATTCTGCTCAAAAGCCGATTTTCAAAATGGCCGCTCATTTCAAAATGGTGGCCATTTTAGTGCCGATTTTACAGTAATTTAGGTGCAATATGTAAAACTGTAATAGCAATATGTTTTAAATGTAAAAAATTATAAAGGACATTAATAATGCTTCAAATGTAGATATTAAAGAAGCGCATGGCAGCCATCTTGAAAAATGGCGGCCTTTACTCATCATTTTACGATTTTTGCTGTAACACAAAAAATAGTAGAGCGATTTTGTTCATATTTGGTATGTGAATACTATAAACATTGCACACTGTCTAAAGACACTTTTGGTAGAAGGCGGCCATTTTAACGTATTTTACTATAACTTGAAAAGTAGTGGAGTGATTTTGTTCATATTTGGTATGTGAATACTATAAACATAGCACACTGTCCTATGACATTTTTGTTAGAAGGCGGCCATTTTGAAAAATGGCCCCCATTTTAACATATTTTACTATAACTCAAAAAGTAGTGGAGCGATTCTGTTCATATTTGGTATGTGAATACTGTAAGCATGGCACATTGTCTAATAAAACTTTGTGGAGTACTCAGCCATTTTGAAAAATGACCACCATTTTTATGTGTGTTATTTTACAAGTACGTGTGCGATTTTTCAAAAATTTTAGAGGTGGCTACTTAAAAGCATATTATTTCTTCTGATAACACCTTGGCTAGTATGCAACCATTTTGAAAATGGTGGCCTTTCTGGTGTGTTGTTTTATGATATTTGCTATTCGTTTGTAAAAATGCCAGCCATCTCTGTTCGATGGGATTCGCTACGCTTTGGCGTTGCCGTTGTTCTGGTTAGTAAATGGGTGTTACTATTAACATACGGGTAAAATATTTGGATACAAATCAACCTCCTACTTTGTGAAAATGATTAAAATAAAAATTTACCCCTGGAAGTTCATCCCCTTTGTTATAAAGCAACATCTTTATAAACAGATGGGAATCAATGAGCATGTCCCAAAACAAGTTCAACTCAAAATTCTTTGATTCTATTTAAGCGAGGTGTTTCTTGAAGGCCCTCCTCTTCATGAAATTCTGGCAAGATTGGTTGAGGGGGAGATGGAGCATGACAGACCAGAAAAAATTGATATAAAAACAAGGAGGTACCACACTGTTGAGGATACCACCTGGAGGTTTCTTCTTCTTGACCATGATGAATACAAGAGGCAACTCATAGTGAGATTCTTGCACGAGGTAGCGATAGACACTGGTGGCCCAACTCAAGAATTTATGAGGTAATTTTACCATTGAAATTATTGTCACATAAACATTAATACCACTTGGTTACACAGTTCTCCAGAAATACACATCTTGTCCAAAATGTTTCAACAGCAGACCACTTATGAATGACCAACTAATTACATTTTTTTAAACATTATGTTTCATTTTTACTGTTATATTTCTCACTGTCTGATTGTGCATTATGTGGCTTGGAAATAAGAAGATTTATCTCTATCATTGCTAAAAAGCATGTAATTTGATTGGCTGATTGAGTACCGATTGTGATCAAAATACGAAAACATAATCCATAGCTTCCTCAAGACATATTGCCTGCTCTTGAGAAAATAAAAAAATGAACTATACAATGTATATTATGTTTACTAATGGGTCTATTATACAGTTATATTCATTGACTCCACAAGGACTCCACATGTCAAAACAAATATTCTATTTTTCTTTAAAAAATACAGTGATTGCAGAAAATGTCTAGCATACATATAATAAAACAAATATTTCATTCTATGTGCAGGGAATGCCTTTTCACTTTCAATGACTTGAAAATTTAAGGCCCAATTTTTGATTATTTTGTCTAAAAAGTAAAAAAAGGCCTAATTTTGAGGAGAAATGATGTAGTAGTATTATATTTTGGATGTTTTGTCACATTATGAATGCGACTAAACATCATATGTATCAGTGGCCCCCCCCTGGATCCAAGCCTTTTTTGAGCTTACAGTTTCATCATTTGACGTAAGAATTGAATGTTCTTATTACCATTACGAGATTTATAAGTATTCAAGACTCAAAGAAGTTTTGTGTCGAATGAAAGTGAGAATTTCGAAAATTGATACTTTTTTCAATTTTATTTCAAAACGAGAATGAACCGAATTTCAAGTAGATGTACCGACAATACTGTCGAAATATCCATGATTGCAGTAACTGAGTACCATGGATAACCATTTTGACCCCTATCAAAAAGTGGTTCTAGTATACAAGGTCTCTATTCTTATTTGCAATATTGCATTTTATCTTTAGGCTGTACTTTGTACAAGCAGGGCAGCGCCTCCTCACAGAACAGGGTTTATTTCAACTCGACCATACCAAGTGGATGGCCAAGGAGTTCTTTTGCTTTGGGCTTGTATCAGCCTGGGCCTTACTACATGGCTGTGCTGGTGCAAGGCTGCTGCACCCAGCTTTGGCCAAGAGGATTGTGCAAACCAACCCAGTGTATGACGACTTAGAAGATTTAGATATGCTGAGCAACCCTCAACTCAAGCAAAAGCTGTTGGAGGTAGTAATTCATTGTAATTATAATCGGATCAATTTCAAATTTTCAGGGATGTTTCTTAGTATGAAAATCTAGAACTGACTAAATTTTTGGCATTCTGGGTAAATTTTAAGGTGGCCACTTTGGATTTTCCGTCCTCAAATTGTGTTGGTAAAGTCTTGTCTACTCATTTTCAGGATAACCATTTCACGGGATCACCACTTGGTGGGGACATTTTGTACACATTTGTGTTCTTGTATTTATTTAGTTTCAAGAATACGGAAGTCAGAGAAGCAGTTACCCAGTATATCAATGTTTTTCACAAAAATACCCAAGCTACAAAAATACATTTTTTGATAGAACTTACTATTGATTTAAAAATGTTTGTATTTACAGCTTAAAGAACTGACTGATGGGCGCCAGATCCGTGATTTTGTTGACAGTAATTTGGATGAGGAAAGGTGGGATGTAGGATACAACAAACCTACATCTCAAATATCTCAGTGGAATGTGATCGATTTGGTGAACGCATTTGTAATGCACGACATGAATAAGATGTCCTCCCAGATTGACCAGTATGTCGAAGGTAAACAACTGTTGTATAAAACTATTTAAACTCGATCACTATTTAAACTCCAATTCTGCCATCCCAAAATAACTATCAATATCATACATTTTCAAAGACATTGTATATCAGTTGATTTGTGTCATTAAATATTTGAAATCTCCATCAAAAAATTACACCAAAAATGTGTTTTGAAATTGTTTATTTACTTTGAAACTTAATGTCTCTGACTCATTCCTTATATTTTTATTTGCAGGACTGAAGACTGCAGGTTTATTACCATCAGTCCGATTATATCCAAAGAGATTTATTGACGAGTTTAGAAGGGGGAAGCACGAAGTGACAAAAATGGCTTTGTCGACAATGATTATTCCTGATTACTCAGCTGAAGCCACCAACTCCAGGCAGCAGGAGGAGGCTGTCGTTATCCTGTGGGAACGGTTCCTTGAGAATTTGAAAAGTAAGAATATATGCAAAATTTATGATGTTTTAAAATGGTAACTGGACAACTCGGACCCAGGAGAACTTGGAACCTTTTTAAAACTATGATTTTTATCATTTCATTATGTGGGGTTTTAATTTTTATGTCACTTCCAAAAAGTATCATATAATGATCACAAATATTTTCATATATTGTTTGAGCCCAGTACCCTAGGTACTGTTTTATTAGTTTCTGTTAATTATTAGTTTCCAATTTATTTCAGGGGGGCGAGTGTGCATAGAAGTTGACGAAGTATCAGTGATGAAATTCCATCTGACAGATGTGCTTGCCTTCATAACAGGAGCAACTGGTATTCCCCCTCTACCATTTTCTCCAGCTCCATCTATTAAGTTCGAACATAACAGTGACAGGAAGTTTATTTGGGCAAACACATGTGCCAGATCCCTGCATATTCCGATGAATGAAGAAATCACCAGTGACTATGTCGGATTTGAAACTGCCATGGCTACATCCATGCTGAATGGAGGATGCCATATGGGTATGCCATGAGCAGCCAAAATGGTTAAACTAATGTGTAAATAATGTAGGCTTACCCAGTGGATCAAGACCTCTTTCTAGTGAACACTTGTATTTACTGAACACTAGTTTCAGTCACATTCTATGACTCCTGGTGGTCAATGTATTAGGTATTATCGTATGATCTTAAAATGAAGCCCTCTGATTGGTCAGTTCTTGTGCTGTACCAATCTGTATTGCTACTGAGATTGTCCCCGTTGATCGTCTCCGTCGCAATACAGAAAATATTGGTACGGAGGGGACAATCTCAGTAGCAATACAGAGGATCACACGATAAAAACGTTATCGAATGATTTGGAGTGCAATACAGGATATATTCTGTCTCGATATTCTGGCACTCGACTACGTCTCGTTCCAATACAAAATTTCCTAATTGTAGAGTTAATGAAATTAACGCTTTATTGAATGAACACACAAATGATATGGTTTGGTTACCTTTTGATTAGATGAAATTCAAGATTCCTGTCCATCAGGGTTTTTGAAGTGAATCATGTTTTGATATGATCCTCTACAGGGTGGGCCCAAAAAACGTCCATATTTTTGTTTTGCTACAATATTGTTATTATTACAAAATACGGTTAAATCACGCATCATTGGAAAGACAATTCAATTTCAACTTACATATCAGCAGATTTCACAAAAATAAAAATGTGGACGTTTTTTGGCCCACCCTGTAGAGGATCATATCAAAACATGATTCACTTCAAAAACCTTGATGGACAGGAATCTTTAATTTCATCTAATCATTTTTAGCCCACCCTTTAGGTATCATAAGTAAAAATAGCTCTTTAGAGTAGTTAGTTAAGTGAAGAAGTTGCTTTTCTGCTTAAGTTTATTAAAGAGCAGCCATGAATGTTGAAAAAATAAGCCTCTTCTGACTGGTCGGTATCAATTGAAGGTTACGGCCTTCACATTTAAGTTAAGTTGCCTTCCCTTAAGAGGAAGATATTATTAAAATATGAACAAGTGATCATACTCTAAGAGTTTCTATTTCATAGAAGTCTGATTTAGTTCAAATTTCATTCCATGGAAGCTATAATTGAAATCAATATTCCGATCATTTCTGCCATCTTAAATATGTGAAGGTGATGGCTGTGACCTTCGCTTGATACTGACCAGTGTATGTGACACTGTGTACGGGTATTTACAGATATATTGAGAAACAGCATTGTCCTTGTGGATGATTTTACATGTTCACATTAAGTCACTATATGGAGGTAAATCATTTTTTTGTGCAATTTGAGTAAATGGGCCATTTCGTCTTTTTCCTCCATAACCCTCATTATAAGGGATGCAATATGTTCAGCCATGTCTTGCTTGTTAAAAGTGATAACAACTATTGCCCTGTGGTAACATGAGGCCGAGTCATTGCCTATTGTGTAATAGGGGCAATGCAATTATGATTTTCACCAACAATATGAGTATACAAAGGAGATTTTCAAAATGAAGTTTGATAAGAAAAATCAACCTTGGTGCTAGCAACATTTCTCTCTCAAAAGGAATTGACTCATATTACATTTTAGTTGGTATTGTTATGATTAAATAACAGATTATTTTTAATCAATACCTGTAACATACAAAGAAATTGTGCCATTTTTATAAGCTCATATGAAAGCTCACTTGTCAGAAAGAGTTTATATTATGGAAGTTCATAACACAAGGCTCTATGTGCTCTGTGCATCTATATGTACTGTAAATAATTATCCCACCGAACAAAGTTCGAGGGGGATATAGAAAAGCTGTACGTCTGTTGGTCCGTCGGTCTGCCTTGCTCAAGAAGACATTTTCAAGATGGCTGCCATATTTCAAAATTTCAGCCATTTAAAAAAAAACTTTGTCTTTGATAACTCAAATACCATTGAATGGATTTGGTTCAAATTTTTCATGCTGATGCCTAAGGACATAGCTCTGCTCGAGAAGGGAGTTTCAAGATGGCAGCTAAATTTCAAAGTGGCCACCATTTTTCATTAAAGAACATAACCTTTGATAACTCAAATACCAGTTGAAGGATTTGGTTCAAATTCCATATGCTGGTGCCAAGATAAGAAGTTCTGCTCAAGAAGACATTTTCGTTTTTTTTCGTAGAAAAAAGCGTAATCATTGCTAACACAAATACCATTGGATGGATTTGGTTCCAATTTTATATGCTGATGTTTATGGAGAAAGGAGATGCGCTTCAGAAGAAATTTCAAAGTCATCAGCTGAGTTTCAAAATGGCTGCCATTTTTCATAAAAAGTTAACCCTTGATAACTCAAATACTTCAAATTTTATAGACTGATGCACAGAGATAAAGGAGCTCTGCTTGAGAGGAAATTTTCCAGGTGGCTGCTATTCATCGAAATCTCTGCCATTTTTTGTTAAACATGTAATCCTTGATAACTCAAGTACCAGATGACAGCTGAATTTCAAAATGGCAGCCATGTTCCATAAAAACATAATCCTTGATAATTCAAATTCCAGTGGATGGATTTGGCTCAAATTTTATACGGGCACTATTTATCAAAATATGTTTTGTTCTTTGGGATTGCTTCTCCGTGGAGTTGCTGTTTTTCTAGTAATAGGTTAATTTGGTGCCCACTTTATTTTGGCGAACTTGTTGAAAAAGAAAATATTGCCAATTTACATCTTTCGCCAACGTTTAGGAAGTCCCAAGGAATTATTGTATGTTTTATTTAGGTCACTCAGTTAATGTTCAATTGATTGAAAGTAACTCAATACAAACCAGACAAATGAGAATACTTTTCGCTTAACAAAATTGATTATAATCAAACCATTTCGATGCTTACATCTTACATGTTTGTTACCACCAGTATATGAACATTTTAGCATCAGAGCAATGACCCATCCTTATGCCAAAACTGCCTAATAATTAGATTGCGCCAAAATAACAATCTAAAGTATATACCTGTATTTGGAGAGATATATATAATTAAGGACCAATATTATTACCACCTTGCAGGGCCTGTTCTAGGGGTATTTTAGTACTAGTTGAGAAGGCATTTAAATTGCTATATTGACATGAGCAATATTGTGTCGGGCGTTAATGACTTTAGTCGGGCAATAATGACATTATCCGCCCGGCTATGTTTCCTGGGAAAAGTGATATCGTTCAGTGCGTAAGATTTTCTATTTCAAATTTTCTATTTCAGCCCTGGGCATTAACGGTGGTAATAATAGTAATAATAACGTCATTTCTGCGGGCAAAATAGTGAAATATTGCCCTTTGAAATGACGTTATTGTACTTTGTACAGATAGACATTTTACATAAGTATTTTTTAACTACACATATGTTTATTTGTACATATGTTTAGGACATTAAAGATTGAAGTAGTTGTAGGTTCTTTCAAGAAAATTTAGCTAGCTGTGATAGTTATTATTTATAAAGGACCAGTATTGTCCAGATGGACATTTTACATAAGTATTTTTTAACTACACATATGTTTATTTGTACATATGTTTAGGACATGAAAGATTGAAGTAGTTGTAGGTTCTTCCAAGAAAATTTAGCTAGCTGTGATAGTTATTATTTATAAAGGACCAGTATTGTCCAGATGGACATTTTACATAAGTATTTTTTAACTACACATATTTTTATTTGTACATACAGTAAAACTTGTGTACAGTGAACATTTTTTTGCCAAGAAAAAACGTTCACTGTAGGTAGGTGTTCACTAGAGAGAGGGTAATTTATACAGAAGTCAGTGGACTATGTGCATAGGAAGGGTGTCCACTAGGGACAGGTGTTCACTAGAGAGAGGTGTTCACTAAGACAGGTTTTACTGTATTTTTAGGACATTAAAGATTGAAGTAGTTGTAGGTTCTTCCAAGAAAATTTAGCTAGCTGTGATAGTTATTATTTATAAAGGACCAGTATTGTCCAGATGGACATTTTACATAAGTATTTTTTAACTACACATATTTTTATTTGTACATATTTTTAGGACATTAAAGATTGAAGTAGTTGTAGGTTCTTCCAAGAACATTTAGCTAGCTGTGATAGTTATTTATTTTGCAACTCGGCGTGTCATTGATTTGAAATATCAACATTCATTGTCAGTATTTATTACTTTTGTACATCAACATTTATTGTCAGTATTTATTACTTTCGTACACATAACTTTAATTTTCTACAATAGAACGAAATCTCATTGTTCAGTATAAAAAGACAAAAAAGATAATAATTAAAGAGGTGCTACATTTTATTATAAATAAAAATATAAATATCATTTATGCATACATTTTTGTGTTTGTTATTGATAAACATTATTTGTGAAGGAAGGATGAGTTGTAAATGAAAGGGTTTGTATCAGTAAATGAAGTTCCTAGATTGATTAAAAAGTAAAAACTACATACAGTATTTTTAAAATGTCACTTGAACTCTGAATGGTTTACTCAATTTAAAAAAATAATATAAACCCCTTACAAAAACAAGAGTTCTTCAATAGTAAACATTTGAGCAGGTTGTCAATATATAAACATGTTTGAATGGCTTAATCTGTAATAAAGTAAGCTAATGTATTGTACAGGGTGCCCCAGAGTATGCCTCCTCCATAGGCCGACAAATACCAGTTTCGTAATAGTACCGGGTGTTCAGGAAATAAAGATAATAATGTCATAACATTTTTATTTGTTCATGGATTGCATCGAAAGTTTCAGAGATTATAGTTTTAACTTATTGTTGGAGTTTCAGCTTCAGGCAATTTGATTGGTTGATTCTGAGGTTGTGATTATGGCAGCAGTATGGGAGGGGGAATTTTCCAAGTAGAAGAGAAATTGCACCCCGGGTCGCGTTTTATGTAATGCCTGCATTAAGTCATGAAAGTCGCATTGAATATCATTAAAGAGCATTTATTTAACTTTTACATCATAAAATAAACCAATAGAAGAATTTTATCATGGAGATGTACCAAGATTGCTTTAAATATGGAACCAAAATCGGTTTGCCATTCGCTAAATGTTGCACAGAAACTACTGCAGCTATTTCATGTGCCCGGCCTTAGCGCTACTCACGTTGCTATGCCAACCACAGAAATGACAAATCAAATCGCTTGAAGCTGAAACTCCAAAAGTAAGTTTAAATATGTTTAAACTATAATCCCTGCAAATTTGATTGAAATCCATGCATAAATCAAAAAGTTATGACATTATTATCTATTTTCTGAACACCCTGTATATGTCAATCTCATTTTTTAAAATGCAGTGGCAAATTAATGTAACTTTGGATGATACATATTGTGATATAATATGACATATACTATGAAGACACTGGTATATGTCTGCCTTGGGAATGGCATACTTTCAGGACACCCTGTTCAGTACATGTACATGCTCAGGTTTGCAACCATATATAAAACATAAACTTAGGGCGTTTCATTTTTGGGATTTTTTTTCTGATGAAGCTGTTCTTCGTATAGTTTGTCTCACCCCCTTGAGCCATCTTTATTCGACACATTTAGCATGAATACATTACATGCATTTGATTCACTTATGACACATGTACTTAATTGAAAACTGATATATAAAATAGGTAGAGTCCTATATTCTAGTAATAAATGAATGACATTTATTTCGGAGTTATTCTATATTTTACTTTATTCATCTTATTAACATTTTTACAATTTTTAGCTACACCGCCCAAACCGTGTGAAACCTGGAGTGATTGGTCAGAAGTGCCGGGTCATTGTGATCCCCCTCCTAATTGCACCCCGCTACTTATTGGTAAACGTGATGTGCGAGACGCTCATCCATTCGATAAACGTATCGCAGTGTGTGTCATCACTAAATGGACATGCAAATTAAAAAGAGAATGTACCCCATGCCCAGGAGCAACTACTTGTACAGGAGATAAAGAAAAAATTGAAACTCGACTGTGTTGCAAGAAAGGTACTTGCTTCTACATATAATATGCAGTGTGTCGATAACGTCTCTGTACACTTCACAAGGCTTTGTATTATAATTGTAAAGAGGCCATTTGGACATTCTGTACAGGCCCGTCGCCAGGATTTGCCAAGGAGGGGGGGTCAGTTTTCAAAAATTTCCAGGGGGGTTCACATTTGACAATTTTGGCCCAAATATGGCTAAAAATCACCTGAGAAGTGCTCAAAATGGTGAAAACTGCATGATTTTAAAATAATTTTTGGCAAGGGGGATGTCGCCCGAACCCTGCGACCCCCCTCCTTGGCTACAGGCTTGCTGTTTATTAATTTAATAGACAATAATGTCATTTTATTGTACTTAGAATTCCAACCAACTTAAACTAGTTTATATTTCAATTAATACTCGATTTATTTTATCTCTAACGTCGTAAACTACACACTAGATATTATAGAACAGTCCAAAAGGAAACTATTTTTGTTTGTTATATGATTGTAGAATAAACCACAACTTAGCCCTGCCACCACTGATATAGTAAGTACTATAACCTGTATCTACAGCCATAGTAATAACCTATCAATCACGTTTAATGCATAATAGTAAATTAAAACTAAAGTAACTTCTCATTTGGTCTGAATACCAAACGTCGTACATATCACTGATCCACCGGGGCATGTGAACATGTTCTTGAGCAAGAAAACTATGTTGTAATTTAGATTCACTTAAAACGGCAGCAGAAATGCCTTTCTAGACGATCACAACGACGTGAATATAATATAAACTTTCCAATGAATCTTTGAAATAAAGAGCATTAATGATCGGTGAAAGAAGAATTTCAAAAGTTTTCCAAAAGAGTTCCACTATTGGACAAACGTTGCATTGTTGTTCATATCTTTAATTTCATTTTCACCAATTCATAAATTTCCTTCACTTACATGAGTATTTTATTAAGCTATTATATGTTATATTATTTCAGGCAAACTCTGGGCAATGGTGAAGTTAGGAGCCTAACAAAACCAACGAGAGATTTAACACATTGCATCTTACTGGAACATATTCGGCTAGATATATTAAATAAAAATATGTTGCATTTACTGAAATGATTGTTTGTCAATCTATACGACCACTACTGTCTCGACGAGGCAATCACTTACTCGACCTAGTCACTCTATCAACTAATGGCCTAGTCACATAGCCCGGCCGATGTCCGGCATCGGTAGAGCTCGGTGGATTTTTTTGGTGCCACCGAGCTCTCCTCATCGGAAGCAGAGCTCGGTGACGTGAACGGACTCCGTCCGGACATCTTCAGGCGACCGACCGAACACCGGCCGGTGACCGTACGGAGTCTGTCTCAAAATGGTAGTTTTTTTCTGCCGATGTGGCAGCAACTACCGGCCGGAGGTCGGCCTGACATCGGAAGGAATACGGCCGGTACCCGAGCAGGTAACAGGACACCGTGCGATCGCCGGCCGGGTTGTTAACGGGCTTTGAACAGTGACCGGCCGATGCTCTGTCCCACATCGGCCGGAGCTCGGTCGGAGCTCGGCCGCTGTCCGTTAAAAAAACCTCGTCCTCTGGTTGTCTCAGATGCACGGGACACCGGCCGATACTCGGCCATGCACCGGCCGACGTGTTTTCCGATGTGGTTACGATGGGGCTGCGATGACATGATGAGGGAGCACGGTGAGAGCCCGGTGAAATTTTACTCCGAAGTTAAAATTTCACCGAGCTACCACCGATGCGGTTTTAAGCAACAAACGCCACGGATGTCCGGCCGGTGTCCGGCCGGAGTTCGGCCGAGTTCGGTGAAAATTGCATCGCTGGCTCATCGTAACCTCATCGGCCGGGCTATGTGACTAGGCCATTAGTAACAGAATTTTAGCTTTCAAGGGTATATAGGGTCCTTACGCTAAAAAATACAAGGTCGTTCTATCCGCTTAAAAAGAGACATACACTCCCCTCTATAGATTTGGCAACCCTAACTCCCCAATTGGATTACATGCTAAAGAAGCCTATTTATGTTTGAATTTTTATTTGCATAGTCTGTAAAGAAAATACTACTTTTAAGTCTGAAAATATAAATTGACTTCATTTCAAATACCTCCAATTTTTCTCAGATGCTTTCAACAATAGCAATAGGTCGGATATTGATGACAAATCTGATGAAGTTTTGAAAATCGACATGACATTCCCATGCTCAACCAATAGGAACTAATAGGTTTGTTGCAAGGCGTATGGCAGATCATCCATCTATTAGAGTTCTCGTAAAAATACAAATTAGGAAGGATATTGAACTTTGTTTAACATGAAAGTGATATGTTTCTTAACGTTCAACAAAGTATAGGCCTCCAAGGTCAAAATTATTTTTCAAGAAACATCTCCCATGCATTGAAATAACACAGGAGGCCAATTCTTTTCCAAAAATGACGTACTGAAGCTCTGTAACTTTGATGTTCACAAAGTAAACTTAACACTTACCGTACAAAAGAGTTTGACAATTCAATTTTCTATATAAAGATAATTTTTGGTGAAGTATTTACAGATATTGATTTGCCCTGAACCCATCGCTTTCCATTGGTTTACATTGAAATGACAATTTTCAATGTTTCAAAAATTCATCAGATTTGTCATCAAAATTTTTGACAAATTGAGAAACTATTTTTCGAGGCATCGGAAATGAAGTCAAGTTACATTTTCACCCTTATCATAAGTATTTTCATCGCTGGTCATGTAAATAAAAATTCAAACATAAAGAGGCTTTAACAGGTAGTCCAATGAATATCATATCATATCTAATGATTCGTTGAGTAAACTCCGATCTGTGCTCGACTCTAAATGTCCGAAATATTCAATTTGCCTTTGTGTTACATGTACTTCGCCATACCCGCTAGTTGCATAAATAGTTAACAAAAGAAAATGGATTTCTATTAGCATGAATAATATTATATTGCCATTTAGTTCATTATAAAATATTACATATAGCAAGTTGGGTCTTTATCTATTGCCATATCTGTGATTTTTCTATGGGCCCCAAGAACATATTTTTGGAACTGAATATGATTTTTTTAATTAACACGCATTCGTAGTTCACCCCATATTTTAGATTATTTCCCCAATTGTCCCAAGGTCCGTCGATTAATCAATGACTATGCTATGAATTCTTAAAGGTAAGGAAAAAACAAAATATTATTTTAGCATCTAAAAAATTATTTTGAAATAAAACTGACAATTTATCACGAAATGTCAAAAATTTACACCCCATGGGTCACGTTAACCTTGATTTGCCTTTTGTTGATTTACAACACCAACATTATTGAAATCAGACAATTTATCAAAAATCTCAGAGGTCAAATATCTCAAGTGCCCTCCCCTTCTGACTTAGTGTTATTAAAATAAGGTTTTAGACGCTAGCGTTGATTCAAATAGCAGCTGCCGTTATGTTCTCATTTATGCTTCTCTCAAATCAGTAAGACATGAATAACGTAAGAATATATAATATATCATATATTTATTTATTTGCACTTGGGGCTTAAAGTAAAACGGAAATCCATTCTCCATTGATTTCATATGAAGAAAAGTTAACTTTAGAGCTGCCCTGAAATACTGGTATTTCAGGTGTTGCACACCTGAGAGAGGTGACAGCGTAAAGTACCAGCAAGACTGCAAACATGTCAAAGCTGCCCGAGGGGCAGTTTAAATGTTTGGAATGAAATAATAGTGCAAAGCAAACCTCCCGTAGTATTGCGTTCAGGCATACGTGGATGCGCTGAGATAGCCGACAAGGTGGCCAGTGCCGCGGAATAGTATCGTGGATAGCTATTCGAGGCGACACCACAATGGATTAGGAGGTCATACAACGCGTAATATTATTAATATGAAAATGAACGTTTGTTTGCACCTATCAATTCATTCGTTTTGTTCTTGTAATCAATACAAGTTTAAAAGACAGGATATGATACCATTCGGTAAGAATGAAATATGGAGAATGAAACCCCAAATAAGCAATTCTGACATTATGTTATAGAAACTATAATTTAATGTCAGAAATGCGAACCCCAAATGCTGGTTAGAACGCTATATGTGATCAAGAAACATGCGGGTTGAAATCAATTGTTAATAAACATTTTTAATAATGTTTCAAATCAAGAATCTTTTCATACAGTTTCTACAATTATTCATTGATTCCAAAACTATCTTCATGATCTTTTTATTGGTATTCTCTCAAAACACCTGCATGACTCTTAACTAGTTCTAGTTTAAAACACTCCCTTTGTGCTCTATACATATTGTTGTTTTTATATGTGTTACTAGTAGATAAAGTTTCTGTTGTGGAACGTTTTGAATACAGAGTTTATCCCTAGGAACATTTATGTATTTTTTAGGGACTGTAGGGAATATACACACATTTCCAAAAGGAAATGCAGCAGGACCATATTTTAAAACCAAACACAAGGCTATTGTCCGTTGGAAATTTCAAACAAAATGGCGCTGTTCTCACTGGCGCTTACCATCTATCACGAAATAAAATGCATGGTATCACGAAATAACACAATCAATTGCTAGAATACATGTTAGTAATAGAATCAAATCAGATAGATAATACAGTTACGTGATCCAAAGTCTTGTTACCACTGTTGTACGTTAATTGTTCACGACTCTAGACGTACAGAACGTCAAACTTTTGACAGTCGAAACGTCTGCAATAATCCACGGTAAAACAACGTCGGAGAAACGTTTTATCTACATCCATATTTCCACTCTCACATCGTTAAGTTCATCTGTGTGAGCCAACACATTCCTGTGCCTATTAGTAGTGCCTATACCGATTAGTATTTAAAGTTACCACAACTCGAGGCATACCTGTATGTAATGCATTATATATTTAACATTTACTTCACGTCACAAATTAAACGAATTCGTTGAGACCACAACGTCTTTGTCACGTTTTCTACACTTACAAATATCTTTCACATTTAAAACACCTTTCGTCAACGTCAAAATTAACCGTTTCGACAACGTTGCAAATAAACCAATTTCTGGTGAGAACACAACGTCTTTGTAACGTTTTCTGCACTTACGAATATTTTTTACATGTAAAACACGTTTCGACAACGTTGAAAGTAACCGTTTGCACTACGTTGGAAATGAACAATTTTGGTGAGCACATGACGTCTTTGTAACGTATTTTACACTTACACATATTTTTCACATTCAAACCATGTTTTGACAACGTTACAATTAACCGTTTTCACTTCGTTGCAAATGAACCAATTTGCAAATATCTTTCACATTTAAAACACGTTACGACAACGTTAAATTTTACCGTTTACATAACGTAGCAAATGTACCAGTTTGGTGAGAAAATGACGTCTTTGTAACGTGTTTTACAATAACAAATATTTTTCACATTCAAACCATGTTTAGACAACGTTACAATTAGCCGTTTTCACTACGTTGCAAATAAACCAATTTCTGTTGAGAACACAACGTCTTTGTAACGTTTTCTGCACTTACGAATATTTTTCACATTTAAAACACGTTTCGACAACGTTGAAATTAACCGTTTGCATTACGTTGAAAATGAACAATTTTGGTGAGCACATGACGTCTTTGTAACGTGTTTTACACTTACACATATTTTTCACATTCAAACCATGTTTTGACAACGTTACAATTAACCGTTTTCACTACGTTGCAAATGAACCACTTTGCAAATATCTTTCACATTTAAAACACGTTACGACAACGTTAAATTTTACCGTTTACATAACGAAGCAAATGTACCAGTTTGGTGAGAAAATGACGTCTTTGTTACGTGTTTTACAATAACAAATATTTTTCACATTCAAACCATGTTTAGACAACGTTACAATTAGCCGTTTTCACTACGTTGCAAATGAAACAAATTTGGTGAGAACACGACGACTTTGTGACGTTTTCTACACTTACAAATATCTTTCACTTTTAAAACACGTTACGACAACGTCAAATTTTACCGTTTGCATTACGTAGCAAATGTACCAAATTTGCTGAGAACACAACGTCTTTGTAACGTTTTCTACACTGACAAATATCTTTCACATATAAAACACGTTACTACAACGTCAAATTTTACCGTTTATATTACGTAGCAAATAAACCAATTTGGTGAGAACTGCAACGTCTTTGTAATGTTTCCTACACTTACAAATATTTTACACATTTAAAGCACGTTACGACAACGTTAAATGTTACCGTTTATATTACGTCGCAAATGAACCAAATTGGTAAAAATTCAACGTCCCTGTTACGTTTTTCACACCAGCACAAATTACGAACTTTACGAACACATTACTACAACGTCATTTTTTAACCATCCACGGACGTTTTGCTCAATGTCACAATTTTACGTTGCTTTGACGTTTATATAACGGAAATATACAACGTCTTCAGTGAACTTATATACGACATATGAGTGACGTGACATTGACGTCACTGTTTGCTAAGCAGAATTTTACACATGTAGAGAATAGTGCAAAAAAAGTAATCAATACATAAATAATATACGGAAAAATACCAAATCAACGGCGCTCTAGATGTGTAAAATTCTGCTAGTAATTAAAGGCCTTGTGTTTGGTTTTAAAATTGTTTATCATTTGAATATTATCATCATTGACTTAAAACGATGTTTTGAATATGAAAAATTAAACAATTATTTGCCTGTGGTTGCAACGTTGCTACAAACAATTTAGGGCCATGGATATGATTAGGGGTTACTTTAAGGTTTGGAAATATGTTTGGGGTTAGAGCTGAAAAATCGTCGGCCATCTTTGGCTGCATTTTTTAGTTTGCCCCTCAATGTTTTGCTGAATCTTGCAATGTCAAAAAGCTTTGGGCATGTCACCAATAATTGTGAATTAGTCAAAACGACATTTTAAATCAAAAATAAATATTTCACATAACCATTTTTGGAAATATTTTTAAGACTAAAATATTATATAAATGGTTTAAACTTTACATAGAACCTTTAATTTTAACCACACGATACGTTGAAATTGATTCACCTCTGCATTAGCAATTTATCCACGCTCAAGTCTAGATCTTATTTCACATGACATGTATGCGTTTAACATGATGCATCGCGGCAATATACGTGTTGCCATTCTAGTCGCAGTGCTGGCAGTTCTAGGTAGGATAATTCAATAGTATAAAAGTGATAGATGATATCTGAACGTTTTCTTTGGTATTGTGAAAATATTGTGTAACAAGTTATCTTTTAATGTTTTTGTCACACCATCAGTGTTATATAGTTGTCATGTTGGTTGAGCGATCGTGATTGTGTATTCAAGAAAACGGCTTATTTTTTTTAATTCGTACACTTAATGATATTAGAGGTTCTAGGGCTGGTAACCTTTTTAACGGCCATTTTGTTTTCTGTTTTTTGTTTTTGATTTTATTTTAATTCGTAAAAATAATAGAGGATACCAAGTTCTAGGGCTGATTAACTTTTTGACGGCCATTTTTTTCCTGGCGGCCATTTAAGAATTTTAGGAAAATCGCTAATTTGATTTTCTTCAAATTCGTACACATAATAGAGGATACAAAGTTCTAGGGCTCCAACTCGATATTCGACCTTGACCTTGATCGATGACAACATTGAAAATGTCGTTATTTTCTGATATTATAAATTCATAATCAGCGATCCAAAATATTTGAATTTATATCTTAATCACTTCTTGTGTGTGTTGAATTTTTTGTAATGAAATAAGGCCAAAACTCGCGATTCAAATTTTGAAGGTCATTTTGGTTTCTGGCGGCCATTTTGGAACATTTTCGATAAATCTTGTCATTGCATTAAATCTTGTCACTGTCATTTTCGGGGAAACTATTAATTTGTTTAGGATGATGATGATAGAGGATACAAGTTCTAGAAATGAATACCTTTTGGCCAAATTCTAGAGCTGATTACTTTAGGACGACTTTATTTTCATCTGGCGGCCATTTTGAAAGTATTTTTTCATTGCATAGTTTAATGTCTTGTATGTTTGATTAATGGAGTGATTTCGTTCACGCCGTGTGACTAGTCTTTATTGGCATTGAATTCAAAAGTTTGAACCGTTGCGTTTTAAATGATAAATACTCCCTTTATCATTTTGGATAATTGGTCAAATTATATTTAGTGTCTGATGGTTTTGCTGGCCATACTTATAAACCTTGCAGGAGAATATGCAAAAGGGAAGAACTAAGAAGAAAATGCAAAAATATTTGTGCACTTCAACAGGTACAGTGATTTACGTATTCCATACACTTAATGAAAACGGCGGTTATTTATCGGGAGGGATTAGATATGGGTTTTATTCAAAGGGACAATGATAAAGATATCATATTGTCACGAGGAATCAACCCATATTAAATCCCGACTAGTTGTTAAGCTTTTATTTTATGATACTTTAATTATGACTGTTTTCATGAAATCATTTTAGTTCAGAAGCAATATCTGATTTTTGTATGACACAAAACCAAACTATATTTCTATATTTAAAAACGTCATTGTATAAATCCAACACATCAACATCAATTCAGCAACAATTTAAAAATTCAACAATGCACAATCGATTACTCGTCTGAAACTGTAAGACTGTAACAGGATATTGTTCACAGCACATGGATCAAACTCATCAAGCTAATTGCTGGAACACTTGTAAACTTTGGCTGCCTATGTATTGATGGTATAATCACAATTTCCAAATCGCTCTACGCAATGATGAATTGTAACAACCCGCTCTTTGAACTGTAACAACCCGTTCTTGAAACTGTACAACCTGCTCTTTAAATTGTAACGACCCGCTCTCTGAACTGTAACAACCCGCTCTCTGAACTGTATCAACCGCTCTTGGAACTGTAACAACCCTCTCTTTGAACTGTAACAACCCGCTCTTTGAACTGTAACAACCCGCTCTCTGAACTGTATCAACCCGCTCTTGAAACAGTAACAACCCGCTCTTTGAACTGTAACAACCCGCTCTCTGAACTGTATCAACCCGCTCTTGGAACTGTAACAGCCCGCTCTCTGAACTGTAACAACCCGCTCTCTGAGCTGTATCAACCCGCTCTCTGAACTGTATCAACCGCTCTTGGAACTGTAACAACCCGCTCTTTGAACTGTAACAACCCACTCTTTGAACTGTAACAACCCGCTCTCTGAACTGTATCAACCCGCTCTTGGAACTGTAACAACCCGCTCTTTGAACTGTAACAACCCGCTCTCTGAACTGTATCAACCCGCTCTTGGAACTGTAACAGCCCGTTCTCTGAACTGTAACAACCCGCTCTCTGAGCTGTATCAACCCGCTCTCTGAACTGTATCAACCGCTCTTGGAACTGTAACAACCCACTCTTTGAACTGTAACAACCCGCTCTTTGAACTGTAACAATCCGCTCTCTGAACTGTATCAACCCGCTCTTAGAACTGTAACAACCCGCTCTTTGAACTGTAACAACCCGCTCTCTGAACTGTATCAACCCGCTCTTTGAACTGTATCAACCCGCTCTTTGAACTGTAACAACCCGCATGTGTCAGTAAAAAGGAAGAAAATAATGTTCAGTTATGGAGGAATTAGAAAATACAAGTTAAGATTTAAGGCGATCCTTTCTGGAGTTCAGGGCTATACATGTACATATACTTCTTAATCATATACTTCTTAATCATATACTTCTTAATCAATAAATCATCAAAACTCTTCGGGAATCATCTTGCAGAGGTATTTTGCTTCAGTGTGTTTTTGTAATTAGGGGTACACATGTGGTGGTGGCTGTTGGAAAAGATGTCTTGGAGATGCCGGTGTGCCTCCAAAATTCGCGCTAGAACCTTGCATGCAAAAATGCACAAGATCGGCAGGTTCTACATCTCCTACAGAAAAATGTAAGTATTCAATTTTTGTTTATCTTATTAACTTATATGCTATTCAAGGAGAAGAGTATATATTGCGATTTCATTCTTAAGGTGCTAAACTCTTCATATTGCTAATAATCAAATGTCATCGAATTAGTGGAAAATGTAGTCAAATGTATATGTAAGTCAAATATAGATTTCCCACCTTTCAAGACTATTGTAGTTAAGAAACTAGGGTATCATTAATTTACTATATGTTTTTTATTACGGCTGTCTTATCTTAAATTTGACCAAATTTTTTTTTTCAAAGCTAATTATCTCATTAATAAATTAATGATAACGCATAAAATAATTAGACTGAATTATTGATTTTGATGATATTTACATATTATATTATTGATATTATTTCCAGGTATTCCAATAGACATAGCCGTGATAGGTGGTGGAATAGGTGGCGCATATGCAGCCTGGAAGTTAAAGGAAAGCAAACAGTCCATACACTTATTTGAATATTCCAACCGAATAGGAGGGCGTGTATACAGCCGAAAACTACCGGGTATAAAATTACTTTTTTATTTTTGCATCGCAGATATTGATATTATGGTTCTCTACAAATTCTACCAGAATAGACTATTAGCTCCGGGAATATGCAATATTTGCGACTGATAAATTATTCACGGACATGTACATGTATGGTTCCCAAAGCTTTATTTTTATCATGTGACATTCAAAATGGCGGATAACAGTAAGCCAGATTCAAATATGTTTTGTAGTCCTTTAGTGATTAGCTACATGCAATATTAATATTATACAAATATTAGATGATCAGGAGCTGGATATAACCAACAACCGAGCCCAATATGTTTTCGAGAATAGGCATTCTGGCCCGGGATTCTGGCCATAGCTCCTGACTACCCAGTATTTGCTTTATTATGCACCCTCTCACATTCTTTTGTCATCATCGTTTATATTTTTAATTGCGTTTTATTTGACATTTTAAGAAGTTTCGTTAAACTCAGACGACGTAAATAGTATATACACCGAACGAAAAAGCACTGTCCCGGGATTTTATTTTCTTTAAATATACTGTTCAATCAATTATCATATATATATGCAAAACAATTTAATGAGGTAAATCACGACTTGGACCAGACTCAGACTTGTTTTTTGCAAGTTTTTGAAAACCTGTTTTGAAATGAAAATGACGTCATTTGTTTGTGTTATAGACGCTGGTTGACACGTATTCTGAGAAAGGATAGGTGAACTGAATTCAACAACGTTTTTCTCTTAAACCAATTATTGAAAACAATCTGTAAAAACACGGTCCTTTATGTAATCTTGACTGATTGGCAACAATTTTATATAACTGGTTTTGTTAACATTTTTTTGTTTTTAGTGCAATTGTTTTTTGTTCCTTTCTACCAATTCTTGAGAATAGAACAAAATGTCTTTCCGAAACTTGTCGGAACAAAATAACATGTACAACATTTTCCAAAACCTCTCAATATTATAGTTACACAAAGCACATTTTGGTTGATTTTCAAAAAGTATGCAAAAACATACCCCCCCCCCAAATAAAAGTTAAAAATTAAGATAAACCTTTTATTTCATTAACAAGATACTTTTTTTAAAATCAACCAATTTTTCCTTTGTACAATTACAATATTGAGAGACCTAAGCACGTTGTGTTTATGTCGTTTTGTTCCAATGGGGTTCGGATAGATGTTTCGTTTCATTTCGAACATATGATACCAATAACAAAAGGAATGTCTAATGTGTTTTCTAAAACCATATAGAAAAAACTATTTATATATTTTTCAAATTATTATGTTACCATCCAAATGATGACCATTAAATTGACGATGTGTAAAATTTTCAGAATGTTTTGATTACTGGTATAAGAGAAATGCGTGTCCAAAAAGTTCACCTTATCGATATCACTCCTTTGAACTTATGATACACCAAATTAAAGATAATTAAATTTCAAATCCACTGGTATATACACTCCCCTCCATAAGTTTGGCAACCTTTTTCCCCCATTGAACTACGTGTTAAAGCCTCTTTACCTTTAAATTTTTATTTACCTAACCTGCAATGAAAATACTTAAACTATTGATGGGAACGTAATTTGACCTTAATTCCAATACCTCCAAATTTTCTCAATTTTTTTCCTCAATTATAATAGGTCGAATATTGATGATAGATTTGATGAATTTTTGAAAATCGACATTCCCATGTTAACCAATGGGAAATGGTAGGTTTGCCGCAAGTGATATGACAGAATATCCATCCATTCGAGTCCTTGGCTCCTTGCAAAAATACGAGTTAGGCAGGCAATTGAATTTGCTAACTTTATTTAACAAAAAATTGATATGTTTCTTCAGGTTCAACAAGGTTATAGGGCTTTAAAGTCAAAATTGTTTTTCAAAAACCTCTCCCATTGAAATAACACAGGAGGCGAAAAATTATTTTCAAAAATGACTTTGAAGCGCTGTAACTTTAATATCCATAAAATAAACCAAACACTTAGTGATCAAAAAAGTTAGACAATTCAATTTTCTATATGAAAATATTTTTTGCTGAATCTTTTACTGAAAATATATCCTGATTTTTGATTTGCCCCGAACCCTCCATTTCCCATTGGGTTACATGGGAATGACGATTTTCAAAAATTCATCAAATTTATCATCAATTTTCGACCTATTGTAATTCAGGAAAAAATTGAGAAAATTTGGAGGTATTGGAAATAAAGTCAAGTTAAGTTTCCATCAATATTATAAGTTATTTCATCGCCGGTTAAGAAAATAAAAATTCAAACGTAAAGAGGCTTTAACACGTGGTTCAATGGGGAAAAAAGGTTGCCAAACTTATGGAGGGGAGTGTAATATGACATGTTTTCATCAATAAAATCAATGTTTGTTTTTGAAATACGAGTGTCCCATTTTTTGGACCACTCTGTAATTAGGTACACTCTTTTTCTGTTGTTTGGTACACATATGTGTATTCATTCCAAAACGTGTATTTATTTTCATTTTTTTAATTTCCAAGGTATTGACTACAGATTGGCTGAGATGGGAGCAATGAGATTTTTCCCAGCAGTGGAAACTAGGGAGGGCACGCGGGGCCATGTGTTTGTCACCAACGCTATAGAATCTCTTAAACTGGAAACCATGGATTTTCAAGACTACAGTGGTGATTTTAAGTCAAACATCCAGAATAACACTTTTCACCTCAGAGGAATGCATATGAAATATATTGACCTGGGTAGTTCTAGAGTACCTTACAACTTGTACCACGATGAGATTGGAAAATCCTCAATCCAACTACGCAGGAAAATATACGAAGCTAGCGTACCAAATTCCGATTCTGGTGATAAGAAACTAGATAAAGATGGCATTGAATTATTTAAACAAAGGCATGTCCCCATTTTACCATGTTAATTTCATTCTTTTCTGAAATAATATATTATTTAAGTAAGCCTACGATGTTAAATCAATGAAATTACTTGACTTGAATAGAATTGAAAGATCGAAACAACTTATATTTGAATCATTCAAGATATGACAGAATCTGGCGCAAATATGGTGGCTCGATCGAAGCGATAGAATTTGTCTCAGACGTTTTGGGGTTTGATCTCTCTGAAGATAATGCAGCGTTTGTCGTACCTATAGGACCTTCTGAAAAACCCTATGATGAGATAAGGGTCAAAACACTCAGAAATGGAATGAGCGCTCTCCCTTTGACAATGATAAAACAGTTTGAAGAAAACAACTCAGAAAGGTAATACTTATTAATTAAATAGAGATGCTCTCCTCACTGAATTAATTGAACAGTTTTGAAATTAGATCAAAGTAGACCTTACTTTATATATACATTTTTTAAAATCCACAAAGTATATACTTTTTCCTCATTTTTGCACTTTGAATATTAAACAACTTCACGAATCGACGACACTACGTACATGGATATTTTGGAAGATATTATATTTGAGATTGTAAGCAATAAATCGGTAGGTCAGCCGTACATGTTTTCTTGCAATTTTGTCATTCCGTATCTAGATCTGACTTACAGATTCTGCCTGTAAGAATGGGGAAGACACAACTAGACTCACGGTCAATGGTCCATGGTCAGCTTGGGTAAAAAGAAACATTACAAGTTGTTCAATAACACGCCATGATTCAATAATAGAACTACCATTTGGGACCAGGAGTTGTATACATGTACGCTATCCAGGAGTTGTATATAAGGTTCACAAGAGTTTTTTCCGATGAGTGTTGATTTTATACAACCATATAAAGCATTAAGGGTGGGATAAATATAAATACATCATATGTCAGTGAATGCCCTGGATTTAATACTCTTGGGTCATGCACAGAAATTAGCTTAGGGTTTGCATTCCTTTAAATAGGTTCTCGTAGGCTCTCCCCACGGTTGAAAACTCCTTCACAATCGGGACATTTGACGGTTTTTCCCTGCTGCCCCCCCCCTCCCCCTGTGATATGTAAGTTCCGATTTCCTTTTGAATTTACAGTCACATTTCTCATATTCAAAACTAAAGGGATATGCTCTGAGAACCGCAGCACACTTTTTACGCTGAATGTGTTTCTTAAGTGTAAACCTAGTTGTAAACTTGCTCTTGCAGATGTCACAATCAAAGGGGCTATCGTTGAGATGACCCCGAGCATGAACAGCCAACTTACTCTTGGATGGGAAGACTTTTATTTCCCATGAGACTGAGACAAAAATGTGATGTTCAAATATGCAAAAATGTAGTTCAAATATCAAAGAAGCATAAACGTCAACTATAAGGTAGTTTAATTCGATGAAAGCTAAAAATATCGGAATCGACACTTGCCGTCCGCCATCTTAGATGCGAAGGGTACAGTCGTTACCTTCACCACTTGATACTGACGAATGATAATGTACTGACTTTATATTTTTCATTATATTACAATGCTATGAGGATAGTTAAGTTTAAAATAATTCAAACATTTTCAAATTGCATTTATACAACGTTTATAGTTACATCTACTTGTTCAATTCTTACTTTGGAGGAAGGGCAGTCTCCCTTTAATATTCAGAATGAGTATATGAAGTAATTTATATTCTAGGAATATATTACCGGTTCAATGCAAGGGTGGTCTCCAATACCATGGGTTAGAGCCATTTGGCTTTTTAATCCATCCAGGGACCAGTTGTTGCTGCCACATAACGAGCATAGATGAATTCGTAATTTCGGAACCTTAGAACTATTTTCTACAAATATATTGAATCAATTAAACTTTTTAAGCTTAAGTATTGGTCATTGTTTAGAGAATAATCTTACTTTGATTGAATGATATTAACTTTCCAGGCATAAGGTGCACATGAACCATAAGTTGATACGCATAGAAAAGCAAGGGGAGAATGAGCTGTTAACATTCCAAAAAACAACAACCAGCAACTATATCACATCGGACACCAAGGTGAGTTGATTTTCTGTGCATATTTGTATCTTTGTTGTACTGTATAGCAAAAGAAACACGGATTATAATATTCACGTTGAAATATTGAATAAAAAGAAACAAAGGAATTATTGAACAAGGCAGATCCTTCATCAAATGCAAACTATGGATGATATAACAAAGCAATAAATTAGGAACCGCAAAGTTTATGCCGTCAAATAACATATCATTTAGCAGACGAATACAATGCCAGAAACCAATCCTCTACAGTGTCTTGACAAACCTTCCACCTTAAACGTTGAAAATCATTGGTTGAAATGTTCTCGCTCTTCAACCATATTATTTATCTTTTCCATCATTAGCTGTATGCTTGCAAACTCATGGAGTAAAAAACAGTCATCTTTTTTCAGGAACAAGCTACCATTTGTGCTAAACGTGTAATCCTAGCTCTACATAGAGATGCTCTCATGGAAATCGACTGGCAACCTCTCAAAAATCAGAAATTTATTGACTCTCGGCTTAATGCTGTCTATGGACAAGATGCATTAAAAATGTATCTTGGCTATGAGGAGCCATGGTGGGAGAAACTAGGGTTCACAACAGGGAGGGCTGTCTCTACGCTTCCTGTCAGACAGATGATTTACAAGGGCAAGGGGAAACCCTCCTCCGATACATCAAAAGACGTTAACAGTAAATCAATGATGTTGGTGTACCCATCTTATCCACATGCTTCATTCTGGGATGACTCAATGTTGAATAGCCATCTGTTAGCCACACCGCTAGCAACCAACATGCTTGCTAGCGAGTACAACATATCAGAGACGATTTTAGCAGAGGCCCATAACCAGATCGCAGAGGTTCATCAACTACGACCTGAAGACCTAGCAAGACCGTACACAGGTGTAATGCATTATTGGAAACAAGGTGGACCCCAAGGGTCAGCATTCTATTCCTGGAAGGGTGGTGCTGACTGGGAAAACATTTCTAAACAAATGATCAAACCCATTGAGGACGAAAACGTACACATCGTTGGAAGCTGCTATAGTACACATCAACATTGGATTGAGGGAGCTCTGACCTCAGTGGAAGAACTATTAAATATGCATTATAACCAGCAAAATGATACCTGGATTGAGAACAAAAGGGTAGACAGGCGTAGACGCGGTGTCTACTCCAGAGAATATGAAAACATTCCTCGATGGACCTAAACTTGAAATAGAGTATTTTTAAACTGACATGAATTAGATGTATTCTTCTATTGAATATCCACCAGCTATCCCCTCACCAGCATTCCATCATCCTTATGGTTAGCATACTATTGATTAGATAGCATTAGTTTGACATTGATTGACCATTACAATGCTGCAATCCTAGATAATTTCGAAACTCTGAAGACTTTCTTACTTTAAAAAATATGCTATCTTGGCCCATTTATTTTTGCACATTGTCTCATATCCTAGGTCTAAATTCATATAATTCAAAATTAAAAATAATTAAATAGTTTATTGAAACAGAATTTATAATATTGTATTTAAAAAAGGTAAAAATGGGCAGTCGTTTTATTGTACAAATCCTTATTTCTACTACAGAGTCAAAATAAATATGCAACGTCAAAATTATGTTTATCACTTTCTTTCTACCAAGACATACAAGTCACGTTGTAACAGGGATGTACTACACGTTACATCATAATGCTTATTACTTACCATATAACCAATACACACAAGTCACGGTGCAACAGGCTTGTACTGCCTTCACGCTACATTACATTTCTTACCTTATAAGCAATACATACAAGTAACGGTGTAACAGGCGTGAACTGCCTACACGCTACATCACATTACTTAACTTATAAACATTACATACAAGTCACGGCGTAACAGGCTTGCAGTGCCTCCACGCTATATTACTTACCTTATAAGCAATACATACAAGTCACGTTTTAACAGGGTTGTAGTGCCTCCACGCTACATCACATTACTTACCTTATAAGCAATACATACAAGTCACGTTTTAACAGGCTTGTAGTGCCTCCACGCTACATCACATTACTTACCTTATAAGCAATACGTACACGTCACGGCGTAACAGCTACATCACAACACTTGTCTTATAAGCAATATCAAAGGTCACCTGTCACGGTGAAATAGTTAATGTGTACTACCTACAACATATCACTTAACTTATAAGCAATGCACATACGTCACCGTGTTACCGGCGTGCACTGCTTACATGCTACAGTATATAACCTTAATGTACGAGGGGTGATCAGGAATATCTGGACCGTTGGGTCTATTTTTGCCATTTTTATACTTTCTTAGTGATTTTTTTACACAATGTAACCCAAATATATAGGATCACACCATGACGATTTCACTGTTCTATGAAATCATCATCCTTTTATTTTTGTTACCATGGTAGCCGGTGACGCGACAAGGTGGAGCTCAGAAAAAATATCAAATTTGAAAATTCAACAGTAGCTTTATATGATGTTTTGACACTGTATTCATTGCTGAATATGTTACAAACATATAATACACGGGTATTATCTAAAGCCCCGCTATGATTGAAAAGTCGCGAGCAAGTCCCCGCTGAAATCGCGAGCATAGTCCTGTTTATTTGTATCACTTTGGAAAATGAACCAAAAGGATGAAAATACTTATTACCGTTCTTTGATACTCCAGCAAAACTTTGAAAACAGATATATTTGACAAAAAATGACATGAAAAATGATTATTTTTTACTTGCATGAAGGAAAGGGGCGTCAACATGCACGTTTGCATAATTTACTGTTCATATATTACCTTTATCGTTAAAATAAAGGCAATAAATACGATTTACATACTCCATAATAAATATCGGATCAAGATGGTCTGTATTGATAAGTTACTGGACAATGACACCTGCCATGGGGGTCGAAATACATTATTAAAGGTGTTCCAGTGGCCCCGCTGAAAAAATGAGGAGGCCCCGCTGAAAACATGAGGAGACCCCGCTGAAAACACGAGCAAATTTCACGACTACCCGCTTCGATCACGAGGAAAGCTTCATCATTATTCCATGAAAATAGTGAGCTTCTTTATATGAACGTACACGAATGTGCAAATAACGTATTAATGACAATCACATAACATATCATTCTATGGCAACATCAAAAATATTTCTTCTTCAACTTCAGGCAGTCTAATCCATCTGTCAGCGGCATGATCAAATTTTTATATGTAAATAGACTTTCTACATAATTAACTATTCCAAGGATTATACTTATGAGGACATATATATTTCATTGGTTTCTTTGTCCGACCGTTCATTCGTGCGTGCATTCGACCGACCGTTCGTTCGTGCGTGCGTTCGTCCGACGGTGCGTTCGTTCATGCGTGCGTTCATCCGACCGATTAATCGTTCATGCGTGCATCGCCCAATCATGCGTTCGTGGCATTGTTCGTCCGACCGTCCATTCGTTCGTTCGTGCGTGCATCCGTGCGATTGTCCGTGCGTTTGTGTGCGCATGCGTTCGTCTGACCGTCCGTTTGTGCTTGCTTTCGTCTGACTGCCCTTTCGTTCGTGGGTTCGTCCGTCTAGCCGTCCGTTCGTCCGTGCGTGCTTTCGTTCAACCGTCCATTCATGCGTGCGTTCGTCTGTTCGTTCTTTTTGCGTTCGTTTGTGTGTTCGTTCCTGCGTGCGTTCATTCGTGCGTTCGTTTGTAACTACGTTCTTGCGTGCGTGGGTTTGATCTTTTGTAAATTGTTTTCTTCTATCTTTCCTTCATGCGTTCTTTTGGCCGCCTATCCGTCCGTTTGTTCATTCATTGTTTTTTCGGCTGTTCTTCTGTCCATCCGTGCGTTCTTTCCTCGTTCGTTTGCTCGTTTGCAGGTTTTCATCAAAATTTGTCTTTCCACTGCCATATGAAAGAATGTAAATAATCAAGAAAGCAAGCAAGGACGTGAGGAAGTAAACAAGCAACGAAGTAAGTAATTGAGTTAGCAAGCAAGTAAAGAAGGAATGGAGGAAGTAAATCGAAGAAGTGAAGGTGGGAGTAATATAAGTAAGCAAGGAAGGAAAAGGGAAGGAAGGAGGGAAGGAAAGAAGCAATAAAGCAATGAAGGAAGGAAGGAAGCAAGGAAACGAGAAAGCGAGGAGGGAAGAAAGTGAGGAAGCAAGCAAGGAAGCAACTGAGGAAGAAAGGAAGGAAGGAAGGAACCAAGGGAGCAAGGAAGGAACGATGCGAGTAAAGAATTAAGCAGGGAAGCTAGCAAGTAAGGAAGCGAGGAAGAAAGGAAGCAAAGAAGGAAGGAAACGAGGAAGCAAGGAAGGAGAAAAGAAGGAAGTTAGGAAGGGAGGAAGCAAGGAAGGGAGGATGCAAGTGAGGAAGGAAGGAATCGAGGAAGCAAGGAAAGAAGAAAGCGAGGAAGCAAGGAAGGAGGAGAGATGGAAGCGAGGGGGGAAGCGAGGAAGCAAGGAAGGAGGAAGGAAGGAAGCAAGGAATGAAAGAGGGAAGTGAGGAAGGAAGGAAGCGAGGAAGGAAGGAAAGAAGGAAGCGAGGAAGCAAGGAAGAAAGCAAGCGAGGAACCATGGAAGGAAGGAATGAAGCAAGGAAGGACGGAGGAAAGGAAGTGAGGAAGAAATTTATGAAGAAAGCGAGGAAACAAAGAAGGAGGAAAGAAGGGAGCGAGGAAGGAAAAAACATGGAAGGAACGAGGGAAGCGAGGAAGGAAGGAAGCGAAGAAGCAAGGAAGGAAGGAAGCAAGGAAGCAATGTAGGAAGGAGCGAGGAAGGAAAGATGCGAGGACGGAAGGGAGCGAGGAAGCAAGGAAGGAAGGAAGCAAGAAAAGAAGAGGCGAGGAAGGAAGAAAGCAAGGAAGCAAGGAGGGAAGGAAGGAAGCGATGAAAGAGAGAGGCGAGGAAGCAAGGAAGGAATGAAGCGAGGAAGGAAGGAAGCGAGGAAGCAAGGTGGGAAGGAAGCGAGGAAGGAGAGATGCGAGGAAGGAAGGAAGCGAGGAAGCAAGGTGGGAAGCAAGCGAGGAAGGAGAGATGCGAGGAAGGAAGGAAGCAAAGAAGGAAGGAAGCAAGAAAAGAAGAGGCGAGGAAGAAAGGAAGGTAGGAAGCGAGGAAGGAAAGAAGCAAGGAAGGAAGGAAGCGTGGAAGGAAAGAAGCGAGGAAGCAAGGAAGGAAGGATGCGAGGAAGGATGTAAGCGATGAAGCAAGGAAGGAAGGAAGCAAGGAAGGAACGAAGCGAGGAAGAAAGGATGCAAGGAAGCGAAGAAGGAAGGAAGTGAGGAAGCAAGGAAGGGAGGATGCAAGAAAGGAAGCAAGGATGGAAGGAAGGAAGCGAGGAAGGGAGGATGCAAGAATGCGAGAAAGCAAGGAAGGGAGGAAGGAAGGAAGCGAGGAAGGAAGCGAGGAGGGAAGCAAGGAAGGAAGCAAGAAAAAACGGAGGGAAGTGAGGAAGGAAGGAAGCTAGGAAGGGAGGAAGCGAAGGAATGAAGTGAGGAAGCAAGGAAGGAATGAAGCAAGGAAGCAAAGAAGGAAGGAAGCGAGGAAGGAAGGAAGCAAGGATGGAAGGAAGCGAGGAAGGAAGGATGTGAGGAAGCGTGGAAGGAAGCCAGGAAGCAAGGAAGGAAGGAAGCGAAGAAGCAAGGAAGGGAGGAAGCAAGTAAGCAACAGGAGATTGATATAGGAATAATATTCATAAACATTATTCTGACTAAATCCTTTTAGGTTGACCTAAACGCACGCTTATTCGTGTATCTTACTGAATATCGACTTGTACTCAAAGATGGAACAGAGGGGACAGTTGCAATACAGTGAATACAGATTATTTCCTATGGACTATGTAGTAAGATCACACGATAAAAACGTTATACAACGATTTGAAGCTCAACATAGGATATATTGTGCTCTCGATATGCTGTATTTCCACTTTATTTCATCTCGTGCCAATACAGAATTTTTTGAGCACAAAATATCCTATATTGCACTTCAAATCATTCAATAACTTATATTACTTCAAAATATGAAAATGAGGTTAAATGTTTAACATTTCGTCCGATCTAATACTCATCACATTTCTCAGATGATCTTTCTTATTCTGGAAAATGGCATGGAAATATGATACTGCAGTTTTCCATAACAACATATCATAATATGAACTATATTAAACAGTTGTGTTTGCTGTTATTGAGAATTGTATTGACAAATAATGTATTCATCAAACTGGGTACAATAGTGGATCAAGGTGGGTACGAAAGTGGGAGATTTTCAGGGTATAATCGGGATTCACTCCATTTTTGAGAGACACTTGCTCCTGTTTTCAGCGGGACCTCCTCATGTTTTCAGCGGGGCCTCCTCCTGATTTCAGCGGGATCTTTGCTTAATTGCTCCTGCTAGAAGCGGGGCCTTGAAGGATATGATAAAATTTAAATATAAAATGTTCTGTAAAGCTTTAGGAAGTGAAACTCGGTACATCTTTATTTCATTTCACTATCGTCATTTCAACCACAGGACAACATCGTTCTTCACCAATAACGTATAGAAATATATAGATAAAGATTCAAAATGATACTTTCTCTCTTCAATTGACAAATAACGAACCACAGAACGACCGCTCGTGATACATTTTTTCCAGCAGTTGCTTTTTTAGTCTCAATACCATGTAATTATTGGGAAAAATTAAAAGAAAACGTTTTGTAAATCATACAATTCAAGAACACAAAAAAGAACCCATGACTTATTTTTATTGCTCGCGATTTCAGCGGGAACTTGCTCGCGACTTTTAAATCATAGCGGGGCTTTAGATACTACCCGTGTAATAGGTTGTATTATATCACTAAGTATATTCATTAATGTTCATAGTAACTGTCATTATTCTTCCATCAATTCTAATCCCCCAAAGTGATTACCAGCACTTTGTAAACATTTGTTAACATTTGTTATGCTTTTTCACCCATTCCTGAAAGACGTGATACAGATCGTCTTTGCTTTAAATATGTGATTGTTTCCATTGGTTGTGGCCTTGTACCACACGCACCATATACCCCAGAATTAGCTGGGTGTGATTTCTATCTTTTCCCAACAGCGCAGAACAAATTATGAGGTATCCACTTTGAGGACAGTAATGAGATCATTCAGAAATTCACACATCAATGTTACAAAGTAGTCGTGTATCACATCTTTCGGGACTGGATGAAAAAGCATAACAAATGCTTACAAAATGCTGGTAACTTCTTTGAAGGATTAGAATTGATGAAATAATAATGAGTTACTACGAACATGAATATAATGAATATACTTAATGAAATAATACAACTTATATTGTTAGTACCTCAGTTGAAATACTCGATTTTGATTGGTCAACGAGCGGTGAATAATTTTAACTGTACACCGCGCAATGCATTGCCGGTGAATAATATTCCCAGCATTCCACTAAAATGACGTCATTATCAGACGATAAAATGGCCGCCGCTAGCACTAGCCGTTTCAAAAATGTTGAAGATGAGGATATTATTAGTCTCTTAGAGAGTAAAGACAGTCAAAATACGAAGAATCTAAAACTAAAATCTAAAACTTTGTACAAAGCTTTTAGTGGACTTCGCCCAGGAGAGTAATTTGACTCCATTGAGTGAACTTACTGCCGTGGCAGATGTAGATAATTTTTGGAAAAAGTTTTACGTTGGTATTAGAAAAAAAGACGGTGGACTTAAAGTTGAAATCATTTCAGCTTCTTAAATGGGGAGTGGCACGATACATCAGAGAGACACTTAAGATGGACATTACCAAGTCTGAATTCAAGGCATCAAACGATGTTTTCAAAGCGATGGTTGTGGAACTGCAGAAGTCAGGAAAAGGTAAAACCTAATCTAAGATATTCTTCGGACTAACAAAACAATTATAGACCTCTCCATTCGGTTTACTGTCAAAATCATATCCCTCGACTGTAAACCTCGACCTACGGTCTCGGTTTACAGTCTCGGGATATAATTTTGACAGTAAACCTCTGGAGAGGTCAATAATTGTATACAGTATGTCACTTATTCAGCAATGAATACAGTGTCCAAACATCATATAAAATTACTGTTGTTTTGCAAAGGATAGGTATCGATATGGAGAACTGAATCAAACAATGTTTTTCTCTTAAACCAATCATTGAAAACATTCTGTAAAAAAACATGGTATTTTATGTAATGTTGACTGATTGACAACAATTTAATGCGAAAACCATTTAGAAATATTTTTATATAACTGTTGGTAACATTATTTGTTTTTTTAGTGCAATTGTTTTTGCTCCTTTCTGCCAATTCTTGAGAATGAAATAAAATGTCTTTCCAAATGTTGTTGGAACAAAATAGCACAGACAACATGTTAATAGACCTCTCAATATTAAAGTTATACAAAGGAATTTTTGGTTGATTTTAAAAAAGTATTCAAAAAATTAAAACAAAACCTCCCCAAAATAGATAAAAAACAAGAAAAACCTTTTATTTCATTAACAAGATACTTTTTTAAAATCAACCAAAATCTCCTTTGTACAATTACAATATTGAGAGACCTAAACATGTTGTGTTTATGTCGTTTTGTTCCAATGAGGTTCGGAAAGATGTTTCATTTCACTCTGGAAACATGATACCAAGAACAAAACAAGTGTTTGGTGTGTTTTTTAAAACAATATAGATGGAAGTATGTATATCTATTTCAAATTATATTGTTACCATTCAAAAGATGGTCATTAAATTGACAATTTGTAAGATTTTCAGAAATTTTTGATGACTGGTGTAAGAGAAACGTGTGTTCAAAAAGTTCGCCATATCGATACCCATTCTTTGGTATTTTTTCTGAGCTCCACCTTGTTGCGTCACCAGTTACCATGGTAACAAAAATAGAATAATGATGGCATAGAACAATGAAATCTTCATGATGTGATCCTACATACTTGGGTAATATTATGTGAGAAAATCAGTAAGAAAGGATAAAAAATGGCAAAAATAGAGCCAACGGTCCAGAAATTCCTGATCACCCATCGTATAACCCTTTATAACAAATGCAGTGTGAGCTTGGCTCACATGCTGCACATAGGAGGTGTATATTTGAGACTCGGCAAGATTCTGTTTGTATATGTTACATGCTATCATGGCAAATTGTTGTTGGTTAACGGTGGACTTAAGTTGAAATCATTTCAGCTTCTTAAATGGGGAGTGGCACGATACATCAGAGAGACACTTAAAATGGACATTACCAAGTCTGAATTCAAGGCATCAAACGATGTTTTCAAAGCGATGGTTGTGGAACTGCAGAAGTCAGGAAAAGGTAAAACCTAATCTAAGATATTCTTCGGACTAACAAAACAATTATAGACCTCTCCATTCGGTTTACTGTCAAAATCATATCCCTCGACTGTAAACCTCGACCTACGGTCTCGGTTTACAGTCTCGGGATATAATTTTGACAGTAAACCTCTGGAGAGGTCAATAATTGTATACAGTATGTCACTTATTCAGGAATGAATACAGTGTCCAAACATCATATAAAATTACTGTTGTTTTGCAAAGGATAGGTATCGATATGGAGAACTGAATCAAACAATGTTTTTCTCTTAAACCAATCATTGAAAACATTCTGTAAAAAACATGGTATTTTATGTAATGTTGACTGATTGACAACAATTTAATGCGAAAACCATTTAGAAATATTTTTATATAACTGTTGGTAACATTTTTTGTTTTTTTTAGTGCAATTGTTTTTGCTCCTTTCTGCCAATTCTTGAGAATGAAATAAAATGTCTTTCCAAACGTTGTTGGAACAAAATAGCACAGACAACATGTTAATAGACCTCTCAATATTAAAGTTATACAAAGGAATTTTTGGTTGATTTTAAAAAAGTATTCAAAAAATTAAAACAAAACCTCCCCAAAATAGATAAAAAACAAGAAAAACCTTTTATTTCATTAACAAGAT